TCGGTTCCCGGGCTCCAGGTGGGGGTGGGGACCACGGACGAGGACCACTCGCTAACGGACGAGGGCTCAGGCCAGCCCCATGTGGACGAGGATTCGGTTCCCGGGCTCCAGGTGGGGGTGGGCACGACGGACGAGGACGACTCGCTAGCAGACGTGGTCTCAGAGCAGCCCCAAGTGGACGAGGACGACACAGTTCCCGGGCTCGAGGTGGAGGTGGGCACGATCGACGAGGACCACTTGCTAGCGGACGAGGGCTCAGGCCCGCCCCCAGTGGATGAGGACGCGGTTCCGGGGCTCCAGGTGGGAGTGGGCACGACCGACGAGGACCATTCGCTAGCGGACGAGGGCTCAGGCCAGCCCCAAGTGGACGAGGACGACTCGGTTCCCGGGCTCCAGGTGGGGGTGGGAGCAATCGAGGAGGACCACTCGCTGGTGGACGTGGTCTCAGTGGGAGCCGGGCAGTCGTGGACAGTTATGGTGACGGTGAAGGTAAGTGGGTCGATCGGCTCGTAAGCGGGAGCGGCGCGCACAGCGATGAGCATGGCGGCAGAGATGATGGCGAGGTTCAGCTTGGAATGCATTGTGTCGCGGAAAGGAGCGGCGGTCAACGAGCGAGTGATGTTGATGATTGCTGGAGGAACGATCAGCGCGCTGCGAGCAAAGTCTGAAAGAAAACGTACGTGAACGAGGGAGCGGGAATGTTCGACCTGTCGTCCACCGTCAACGCGCGTGGTATTTATTGCGCAGAGGAGGGATCACTGTGATGTCGTCCCAGCTGCTGAGCGTGAAGACATGTGAGGAGACTCATGGCCAGGCACTGGAGCTGTCGTGCTGTGGCATCGGTGAAGGTAGGCGATGTCGAGGACAAACGCCGGGTGCAGCGAAGCCACAACGGCCGCGCCATCCAACTGCCCAGGTCCCAACTGCTGTCACGATATGGCAGCGGTCAAGGCAAGCGGCGGCGAGAATTGAGGAACGCTAGCTAAGCTCAAACAGCCCCGCCGAGCGCGCCCAGAGAACAGTGGGCTTTGTGCGCCGACGTCCGCTCGCCACTGGGTAAGTCTGCACGACCACCTACCTTTTCTGGCGAGAAACACCTCGAAAGGAATACATCGGACAGCAGTGACATCTCGCACTGTTCGCCCACGAAGCTACCTCCAACGCATCTTGCCATCCGATCTACGACACGGTCGACGTCTGTTGGTTCATCGCGGAAGATATTATTGTGAGATCCGCGCGTGTGCCTTGGCCGAGACAGAGGAGGCCGAGATGCCCGACGGATGCCAATAGGACGTGCATCGAGCGCAATCCGCGGACGTTCACGTTCAGCATAGCCTGCATGCCAACTAGGCTGGTGTGTGGAGTGAATGTGAAGACGGTAACACGAACGCAGGCGCGGGGCCCTTCACAGGTCCTGCCGACCCTCGGCGGTCTTGGCTCGCAGATCTGCAAGGAAAGACCGCCGAAGCCAATCTGTTCATCAAGAGAAATTAGGGACGGATCGCACCATCAACGCATCATGCATCAACTATTGACTTCATCAACAACGCTTCTGAGCCAAAAGCATGACGCATACTCAAGTTATCAGTCACCCGTCACTGCCAGTGAAGCGAGCAACGTCATCCGTTCAACATGGACTCCGAGGGACCCGGGGAGCTGACAATCACCGTGCATATCAGCAACGACTCGACGAGTGGCGACGGAACGTACTCTTAATTAAGGGGCATCGATCAAGGATCGCTGCATAATCGATGCATCCGTCGACGTCAAAGTGCACACACTCGAAGCGCGGCCACGGCCAGGGGGATTCGCATTCTGCGCGAATGACTTGCCACATCCGTGCGCGACGGCATCGCGCGCTCGTCAAGTTCACCGCGGACATGGGGATATTTGCAATCGTTCATGCATTTATGGAATTCAGTGCCGTCAACGAATTAGATCTTAGTGTTCCAACGGCCGGTCACACTTCGAAGCCATTTGCAACATGAACAAACGTCTTCGTTTCTGCAATGGGATGGATGGCATGTTCGTAGCATCTTGGACGGATGGAGGCTGATGATAGTTCGTTCTCAGCGCTCAGCGCTCCTTCCTCGTAACTGGGAAGAAACCGGCTCGATCTCCGTCACGGTCACCGGTTCACCACTCACGAACAATGCCTGGCCGCCTCAACCACGATCACTCATCCCCCCACCCCCGGCAGGACCAGCTCGCTGACTCAAAGACATGCAAGACCAGACGCGCATCCGTGACAAGATAACCCCCGCAGGCCGAGCGAGATCTCGTTGGCTCGCTCGTAGCTTGAGCTTCGAGGCGATGCCGGGCCCGTGCTTGCCCTTTCGACGACTTGATCGCCCGACTGTCGCACTGCACGCCAGAACCGTTTGCGAACGCGCTTATATTCTCATTCTTCCATACATGCCCCTACCAAGACTGTTCTCTAATCCCGATCCCCGCCGTGTCCTACACGCACAAGGTCAGTCAGCTATCTGGTCTACTATTGACGTCGTAGGACATTACCGTCGTGCGATCCTCGGCTGGTAGGGATCAGGCGGTGGTCAGGACATATCGTGCACGAGGAGGGAGGGGAAGGTGTGGTGTGCTACGTTTGTGGATCTTGAGCCTTGACAGTCATGTGTTAGTTCGTAGTCCCAAAGCGAGGTCGATGGTCTACGCGACACGTCATGGTTACTGAGGTCTACAGTATGACTCGGACACGGACCTTGAATGAATTCATGTCTTTGTCTGGTCTTGAGCCTTGAGCCTTTAGGAGATGTCAACGGAAGGTATCTAAGTGGGCGTTGAGCGAGTATACGCGGTCGAACCGTTAGAGTCGCTCAGTGCGAACCTTTATACGTACATGCATTCTCGAACACGGGCAGTTGAGCAACTGACAGTCGTCCGGCACCAGCACGAACGAGAACTATACGACCATGAGACCTCCATGACCACGCACACGTCTCTTCGAAGGGCGATACGAAAACCTGGTTGAAATTGGCAACCCAAAGACGAGCGTCGTGGTAACATGGCTTGAAGTTGTCGATCGATCTGAGGAAAACACGATTGTGTGGCAAGGCGATGCACATTAACGACGACTCGGTATTGGCGGCATGGGCGCTGCTGCTCAAGCGATTGAGGAGCCGCCACACCACGAAATGTTGCCACAGCATTCGGCTCGCAAAATGTGGAAATCGTAGCAAGGAGAGGTGTATCCTCACAAGTTGACTGCGTTGTCCTGAACTCTGCCGATGAAACGAGGAAAGTAAAGCCACCGGCGGCCGACCAACATCGCCCGAGCACGGCGAGGTCGTGTTAGGAGCGAGAAGGCGCAATTCTGGTCATACGGGAGCATAGGCCATACGAAGCAATGCAAAGACAGAGAACGGCGAGAGTGTTCATGTAGGATTCTCCGTCAATTGCGACAGCGAGAAGCGTCTCGAATAAGTCCGAGGAGGTGCGCGAGTTTCGAGTCGAGGATACTCAAGGGAACGTGTCTGTGGGCAAAAACCTCACCAGGACCCGCATATAAGGAGCGTCCAAACAGGAAAGCCATCGCGGTTTGAACACGATTCTGGCCGTAGGGTCCCTCGTGAACATGAAAAGCAAGCAGAGGCGCGGGACATCGACCATGGCCACCTTCGCTACGATTGCCCATACCGACTGTCTCAACTCTCTGAGAAGTCTTGATGATGCAAAAGGCATGGCTGGCCACCGTCTTCAATCTCTTCGGGGTTCCCTGGGATTTCGGCCTTCGTCCAGCTAGGTCGATTCTCCCATATTCGGGGACTCGGCCAGTCATGGCGTCGTAATTTGAAACATCGAGAGAATGGAGCGATACGAGCTACTCCCACATTGCTGAACAACCTTGTACTTGTTTGCCACGTCCACAGAAGTCGTCGAAAGAACGAAGCAAAACGAGCTCACAGTCTTCTGGATGTCACCGAAGTTACATGCAACACTACTAGAAACTGTCAGCGATCATCCATACGATAAACAATATGAACTCACCACCGTGGCCACGAGTGCTTCTCCATTCCCAGAAATCGATTCACGCAAATATCCAATACTGTCTGTCCTTCTTCCACCACAATAAAGTCCGCGGAATGGTCGAATCCGCGCAGGCGTGCCGACAACGTGCGGACACATTGAGAACCTCCACAAAGAAAGACGTTCGAAGAAAGGAGCACATGCAGGTGCTCGAACTGGAAAAGTCAGGTTCAGGTCGTCCAGAGGGACGGAAAAATCCTAGGTCGACAAGAGCAGGCTCTGTAGAACGCGACCGATATGCTCGTGAGAATGCGTGGCTTGCAATCCCGTTGGGGGGTGAACCAGCAGGGGATGGAAAGGACATCGCTGGGTATGGCGAAGGCTGAGAGTTGCCGTTGAAGATTCTAACTGCGTTTGACGTCGAGAGGTAGGGCTAGGACGAGCGATATTTTGAATGGCATGGTCAAGAGACTCAGGAGGATACACGGATAGCAGTGGCATTATAGACATGTATCGGCGGAGCGGCGAAGACTTCGAGCGGAGGAGGTGAGGGCCGAGCTTAGCATCACAGAGTATACCAGTTCCGCGATCGGCGGCGCGGGATATTCGGTTATGTCTTTCAAGAAAGAGCGCAAGACGCGTCCATAGGTCGTAGAGCCGTCCAGAGCCGCTCTTCCCATACGCGAGACAAGAGCCCACAGAGGAAATGCACGGAACAGGGGACTTGGCCCATTCGCAGACGATAAGTTGAAGCGGCGCACAGCTTGACGACGCGACGTTCTTATTTTGCTCCCGCGACGCCTCCGCAACCCACTGCAACTTGATTTGCTCCCGCGAACAATGTCGCGCGGCTATCCTCGCTCACTTGCTTCCTCTTGCTCTGGCCCTGCAAACCAAAATGACGGATTCATGCGTTGAATCGACCGAACGCTGTTGGAAGACGAGCTATCAGCAAACTCCACGGGGACGACATCACTGGGCGCGAATGTTGTTGTGAACCGTGCGCTGCCCATCCTGGACGCGTTGCTGACCAGCCACACGGTAGTAAATATATGCCATAGCCTCATGGTCATCGGGCTCATACGAACCGCTTCATACGTATCTCCGTGGAATAATCATCGATCCACAGAAGTACACGGGCCTCTTCAGACTCCAACTCGTCAGATGCGAGGCCTTCACAAAAGACACCCCAGAATATCACGGTAAGCCCTTAAATTCTGTTCTCTCAGCTGATTATTCTGCTTCACAGAGCGAACCTCGACGCCGAACGGTCTTCCCCCAGTCCGGAAAATGCATCGACGAGCACCGACATTCGGTCACAGCACTAACACCGTCGGTGTGACATTGCGTCACATCACTAGACGCTCGTTAGGTTTGTGGCCAATTCGTCAATCGATAATGAACGGAGCAGTTTACGATCAATGGGAAGCTGTGCATTGTCTTCATAGACAACAGATAGCAGATGAAGGGCATCCAAAAGATCCGCGCGATATAGGTAGAAGAGCTCCCCAAGGCAAGCCGACCAGCGTCAAGACTCGAGATCACTATCGACTGAACAAGACGACGGCTGGACAGTCGCTCGTTATGTGGACGTGTCGCGCATGTACAAATCACGAAGCAGCCTGCTTGACATTCAATGCCAGCTCGATGCGATGACAGCGACAGTGTGCGGAAATATGTTCGGTTTCCAGTCCAAATGCGCGACGCAAAGCATGGTCACGTCGCATGTCCTTCCGTATTGCTTCCATCCCACGCAGAGAAACGAGAGGAAGATTGGACATGTCGAGCGGGACGTACCTCTGCCGATATCCATGATGGACGACGCCGTGGCATCGCCGGCTGTCGTTCGCGACTCTCGCGAAACTAAAGCGCAGTCCATGGGGTTAAAACGCGTAGATTCCTCGTTCCCAACAACATTGTCGTGGCGGGGCGAGTAGCGTGGGCCGCCGCATGGTTCGCGATGGTCGCAGAGGGTTGCACCGTCTCCACTCGCGTCGACGGAGCCTCAAAGCTCATGATAATGTTATGAGCGAGATTCCGGTCGTTTTCATGCTCAGAATAGCGACGAAAGACCCAGAAGACCATGAGCAGGCTTAGAACACATTTTGACCGTAACCTTCGTTGAGATGAATTGGCGAGCTCGACGAGAACAGGGACAGAGAAGAAGTTCCATACAGCCCAATCTCTCCTCAGCAGTCCCTTTACGAGACGGAGAATATCGAGCAGGTCGCCGGGACAGAAGAAGTGGTTCGGCGGTGATGGGGGTCGCACAAATGGCCGTGGACGATTCACCGCACCGCGCCACCTCTCGCTTGCCGCGTCCACGCCTGCCCACGCGAGTGCACCTTGCGCCTTGCTCGAAACAACGTCCTCATTGCTGCGATGGACCTCTACCCAGTCATGATCAATCATCATACCCACAACTCTGACGATCTACATCCCGAGAGCCCTTGCCCAATTCCTATAACGTACCATCTGACTGCCACCCGGCCACTCTTCCGCTTCCCTCGTGCCGCCTCTCGATAGCGTGAGCACGCAGACAGCTGCGATAGACAATTATCTGCGAGCTCCGCCTTTCCCGATGGCAACCTTAAGCCACGGCCTGCTTGATTGACTGATTCTGTCCACTGTAGCGTCTTATTCAATGATTACCTTGCCAGTGTTCAAATGTCCCGGAAGAGGACCAGTTCTCATCGACGCAAAGTCATCCACTTGTTCAGATCGTGCGTGCATGCCGCCTTATTGGCTTCTCCATTTGTTTCTCGAGCCTCTCTTGAGCAATGGCCGTCTGTTCTTACGTCTCAGGCTGAGCAGGTCCCTATGGAGCTTCTCGGTAATGCTTGTTGTTGTCGATGTCGAGTTGGAAGCTTGATGGATACGTGTGGGATGAGAGTTGAGATCGGTTCCGTCTGCCAAGTCGTCCCAAGTTCACTCATCGGCTTGTATGTGTTCTTTCGCCTTGCAATTGACTCACAGAATGTGTAGATTATCTCCCTCGCACCATCGCGGCTAAATATATCCGGATCCTGCCCGATGAGTGTGTACCTTGCCTTCTCATGCCGATGAACAGCTGATCAACGCTCATTGTCTGCAATGCATTGCGGTCCTGATCAGACGCATCGTCACAAGCCGGCTGAACTTGACACTGGGCTTTCAGGTGTAGTTTGCGGTTAGAAACGATCGGGTGAGTGCGATGCTGTGTGTTGCCAAGTCAATGGGCTTTCCTCGACTGTGCTGTCCTCGATGTGAGCATTTTGGCGGGCAAGCTTTGCTGTAACTTGGGCGCGCGGTTTTTCTTCTTACGTGACAAGTTGACATCGCTCGTTGTTGGTCTAGTCTGGAGTCATGGATTCCATATCGATACCTTCGTTCTTGATTCTTGATTGGCGAGCTTTTTGTTTCCTATGATTCTGCAACACTGTTGCCGCTGTTCACGTATGGCATGCAATTTCGTCCCATAGATCGTCCAGTTTCTACGTCATAACATGCTAGACGATGATACGACATCAGCTGCGTCTCCAGTTCCGACTTGGATCTGTTCGTTGCTTGAACATTCCACAAGGATCGACTGCACGGATTGGGTGCTTGGTGCTTCGGTTTAGCCGTCATATTTTGCATTGCATGTTCAAATGATGCAGCGATTATGCCATTTGCTCTTGAGAGAGCGATGGACGCGAACATTTTTTTTTTCGCAATGTATTCCACTTGCATGCACGACCAGAGTTGGCTTGATAATATTGAACATTGCATCAGACTCGCGTACATCAGTCGTTTCAATGAGAAGTTATATATTTCTCCGTCGTCCGCTCGCCGCGAATCTTGGTGATGTACTGAAACCTCACAAAGCAGAACACGACACCGCATCCTCAATGATCGCGTGCATATCATCGTCGTATGAGCCCGCTTTACAGTTCGCCAGTAAGCTGGCGTCATCTTGCATGCATATCAATGAGTAAGCTCAATACTAAACATAGTCGATGAGCTTGAACTCACCATGCGATTCCTCCCGTGCCGTGGAAGAGCCGCATATACTGTCTTGCATGCGGCACGAAGCCACTGCGACATGCCCACAAAGACTCGCTTTAGCATATGGTCCGTTCTGCAGCGATCATGGCTGTAGCTCCGAGAGTGCACGAGTGGCCTTTGAGTTGCCGGTAGGCCAAGTCACCGGGACGGGAAACTCCCGTCACTCGCCTGGCAGCAGCAAGCCATAACAAAGATCCAGGTGCGTGTTTTTGACTGTTAGAGACAAACAATTGACAGCGCTTGCCGGTTACCCAGATACGCTGCGACGCGCTGTGCTTGGCACGTGACTATATGCTAAGGTCACGATGTTGAGTTTCACGTGGTGAGTGGCCACAACCATGTGCCATGTGGCTACGAAACAAGAGTGGCCCGCCCACCGATCCCCGGAGGATCGTCTCGCTCGTTGGACTCCCCGCGCGTACGTGGGCTTCACTGAAAAGTGAAAAACTCTGCCTCGGAGAGCGAGATCGAGGCACTAAGGGATGAGATCTGAGAAGCAGCGCCACCGCAAGAAGCGCGCAACGCCACCGGCGCAAGAAGGACGAGTCCGAGTAGTAGAGCAAGAGAGAACGCTCACGCTCGTCGGCTCCCCCAGTCGCACTGGGGGATGAGAGGGGGGACAGTACGATTCAAAGCTGGAGAGGGAGAAGGAGCGCCTGGCGGAGGCAAAGAGACACGAGCTCAAGAGGGTGAAGCGGCAGGCAGGCGGTGGAGTGCGATTCAAGAGTGCGTCATTGCGTTCCTTGGGAGGCATTCTCGTGCTGATGGACTGGAGGCCTCGGAAGAACAAAGTATGCGAGTCGATCCAGAGGTACGTGCGGCGTGGAGGGGCGAATGAAGCTTGCGCGTTCATCGGATCTGTCTTGATTGAGTGTATTTGACGCATCTTGGTGACATTGATTTATACCTGACACCACTCTGTCTGTACAGTTCTGAATCACATTTGCTGTCACCGGGTACGCATGTTCGATTGGGCCGATGCCTCACGGTTTGACTCTTCAATCATTGCACCATGCAAATACATGTCGCGAATACTATGCATGGTGCACACCAGGGACTGATGGTCTCTGGGTAGTAGACAGAGAGCACACGAGCTCAAATTTGTATCATGGTAGACAGTTCCACAGCCTCTATCCTCGTACGATGGAGGTATGGGATGATCAAAGTGCCATGGCACCCGGCAGCAGAGGCTGTGTGAGCGTCTCGGACCATCGTATCCGACTAGTTACATGCTTATATAAAATGTTCCACATCCAGAATTCACCCCAGTGCCGTCCATCCCACCCTTATTCCCTCTCATCGACATCCTCTGCATCATTATCGTGTTCCCGGACATTTGCTCATATAACGACACAATCCTGCCATGGCCGGTCCAGCAGACACCACTGCAGCCCCGCCAATCAATGATCCCAAGCCGCCGCGCCTTCCGCCCGAAATCTGCGAGCGCATCATCGACCATCTCGATCCGCGCCGTTGGCTCGGATCCAGACCGACTCTGTTGAACTGCGCCCTCGTTTGTAGAGGGTGGTATGCCCAAAGCCGCGCGGTCTTATTCGAGAAACCCACACTCTCCACTCGGAAACAGGCAATCGCCTGTGCGAGGTCACTGAGGCGGATACCTCTCCTCGCTGATCGTGTGCGAAGCTTAGTGATCGGCTATTCTTCAGGCCCGGAGATGGAGTTGGCATCGACTCTCCTAATGCTGGCGGGGAAAATCCCAAAGCTGGCCTCGCTCACGTTCTCCCGCGTCAGCTTTGCTGAGCACTGCTCCATGCGCCATTTGGTGTTTTGTAGCTTGCACGAATTCAGCTATATCACATCGTTGCGTCTACAGCGTGTCAAGTTTCCATCGGCAAGCTCCTTCTTTCAGCTCATCTGTTCATTTCCTCATCTGCAGCACCTTCTTTGCTACCGCCTGCGCTGGAGCATACCGAGGTCCATGGCTCCACTGCCTGAACACCGCCGCATGCCTTTGACAGAAGTGACTTCTCTTCGCTATGACCTGTCATGCTTCAATGACATTGGACATATTCTCCTCGGTCTTGTGGATCATGCTATCTTCAAAGAACTCGTCCTACGTTCACCAGTCTCTACGGCAGCTCTTACTTTTACTCAAGACATGCTGAACAGAGCTGGCTCGAAACCAGAGAAAGCAATAGTCACTTTCCATGCACCAAAGGAAGATGCTGATGGCTATTTACAGTCCTTGCTCTGTAAGTATTCTATCAAACAGCATTCCGTATCACAAGAATGGCTCACTGGCATACGTTTTAAGTGCACCCCACCAGCTTCGAAGCAAATGTCAATCTGCAGGCACTGGAACTGGGCATCTTCACGTCAGAAGTGAATGATGCTGCACTGTTTGTCCGGAGTGCGCTGCTGCCTCTGCTCAACACAATATCATCAAGAGATCTCGAAATTATCCATTTCTCCATACGAAGCCATTCGAAATGGGAAACAGACACCTTGCTTAGTGCATTTGATCCAGAGGTCTGCACCCAGATTGATGACCTTTTGGCTGAGGGACATTTTGCCGAGCTGCAAGCCGTGTTTATAGACGTTCATTTAGTTCGTAACGCGTTCGATGACTCACAGCCACAGCATGTTATTTTTTGCACAGAGATCTGTGCGCGTTTTCCCAGACTGAATGATAAGAGCATGTTGATGTACGTCGTCCTCGTTCCTTGGATACCTGACTGAACTCACATGGATGCAGTACTACTTATCTCGGACGCGTATTTCCAAGTGATGTTGAGAGGGCATTGAAAGCCAAAACAAATGGCTAATAAGCAGTCTCCTCCAACCGAGCAAGCCGCCACACAGGCAATTACTGCCTTTGCACTCATGCCAATTCGCCTTCACTTGGCTCTCCAAATCATCCTGGACGTGCAGCTCCTACAGCAGCTCCCCGCCCTAGCCAAATCTCGTCCCATTCAAAAAAAAGGCAGACCTCAGCCCATGCGTCATACGTCGTTCGCTTCCATCATGCCGTCGCCGCGATCCTGGATAGCACGTGGTTGCCACGGGCACTGTGACCTATTGCATACCCCGTGTCCTATTTTTCGACAATCACAGTTACGCCGTCGTCCACGGTCGTCATGGTATCCTCCTGTCTCCGTCTCGCCGTCTTCGCACAAAGTCCTCGTGATGCCTGCATCATATGTTCTCAAATGTCCCGCAGTTCCGATGCCACTTCGTGTACTCAATTCCAGGTGAATGTACTGCACGACAGACAGGTTTCCGTGTCACTTTCCCTCGCTTCGGTTAATCTGTATCTGTCTTCACTGTGCGGTTTCGTTCTTCTAGGATTACAAATGCAGACCAGAGGCTTCAGCAATCAGTCTGATCACGCGCATGACGTGACGCCGCAGTGATTCTCAAGTGCTTCGCTTGCTGAGGACAAAGTAGTCGGGCTGCATGAAGCGACGCGTGTAGGCCGACTCGCCTGCAGTCTCGCAGACAGTGTTTTGCTACATCATATTAGTGGGTTTACGATCGCTCAACCCCCCCCCCCCCCCCCCCCCCCCTCCCCCACCAGATACACACATCAGCCTGCTCATTTATAAGACGTCCAAGACGAGACACGCATCTGAACAATGAAAAATCTCCCAGGTCAAGCGAGATCTCATTATCTCACTCGTAGCTTGAGCTTCGAGGCGATACCGGGCTTTTTGCGTGCTCTTTCGATCACTTGATCGCCCGACAGTCGCACTGCACACCACAACCGTTTGCGAATATGTTTATATTCTCATCCTTCCACACATGCCCGCTACCAAGACTGTTCCTCTAATCCCGATTCCCGCCGTGTCCTACGTGCACAAGGTCGGTCAGCTCTCTGGTCTACTACTGACGTCGTAGGACATTACCGTCATGCGATCCTCGGCTGGTAGGAAATAGGCGATGATCAGGATACATCTTACATGAGGAGGACGAGGAAAGGCGTACGATGGGCGGTATGATACGTTTGTGTAGACGTTGATCCTTGACAGTTAAGTGTTAGTTCGTAGTCCTGAAGCGAGGTCGATGGTCTACGCGAGCACATTATGGTTACTGAGGTCTACAATATGACATGGATAGAATCGAGGATACGGACCTTAAACGAATTCATGTCCTTGTCAATCTTGTCCTTGAGCCTTTGGGAGATGTCAATGGAAGGTATCTAAGTGGGCGTTGAGCGAGTATACATGTCGAACCATAAGAGTCGCTCAGTGCGAACCTTCATACATACATGCATTCTTGAACACGGACAGTCGAGGAGCTGAGAGTCGTCCTCCACCAGCACGAGCGAGAACTATACGACCATGAAATCTCCATGGCCGTGCACACGTCTCTTCGAAGGGCATTAATAAAATCTGGTTAGGATTGGCAACCCAAAGACGAGCGTCGTGGTAACATGGCTTGAAGTCGTCGATCGATCTGAGGAAAACACGATTGTATGGCAAGGCGATGTACATTAACGACGACTCGGTATTGGCGGCATGGGCGCTGTTACTCAAGCGGTTGAGGAGCCGTCACACCACGAAATGTTGCCACAGCGGCCGCGTCCGGCTCGCAACATGAGATAATCGTACTAAGGAGAAGTGTACCATTGCAAGTTGACTGCATTGCCCTGAACTCCACCGTTAAAAAGCAAAGCCGATGGTGCTCGACCGATATCGCCGTACACGGCGGTGATTGCACGCATGAAGGTCATGTTGGGAGTGAGAAAGCGAAATTTTCAGACATACTAGGAGCACGGGCCGTATGGACAAACGCATCAATAGAGTGCGGCGAGAGTGTTCATGGAGTTCTCCGCGCATTGCGAGGCCGAGAATGTTGAGAATCGTCTCGAATCAGTCCGAGGAGATGCGCGAGTTTCGAGTCGAAGATACTCAAGGGAACATGTTTGTGGCAAGAAACCTCACCAGAACCCAGATATAAGTAGCCAATGAGTGTCCAAAGTGGCATCGCCGCTTAAAACACGATCGCGGCCGTGGCGTCTCATCGTGAACATGAAAAGCAAGCAGAGGTGCGGAACATCAACATGGCCATCTTCGCTACGATTGCTCATACCGACTGTCTCAACTCTCTGAGAAGTCTTGATGATGCAAAAGGCATGGCTGGCCGCCATCCTCAATCCCTTCGGGATTCCGCGGAGTTCATGCCTTTGTCCGGCTGCTTCGGTTCTCCTGCAGAACATTCCGGTGAAAGCGCTTCGTGGGATCCTTCCGAATGTCCTCATGCAGACGTTGTCTACGGCCTCATACTTTGTAATATGCCTGCCATGGCGTCATAGATCTTGATATCGACTGGATGGAGCTGGGTTCCAGCTACGCCACGAGTCCCGCATCGTTAGACAGCCTTGTACTGCTTTGCGACGTCCGTAGAATATGGCTGAAAGAGTAACGAAGCAAAACGAGCTCACGGTCTCGTGGACGCGTCCGACTGACATGCAACATGACAAGAAACTGTGAGCGGCCATCCATACGGTTAATAATATGAACTCGCCACCATGGCCACAAGTGCTTCTCCATTCCCAAAAATCAACTCACGCAAATATCCACCACCTCTTTGCTGTCCTTCCACCACGATACAGTCTGCAGAATGGTCGATCCGCGCAGGCGTGCCAACTACGCGCGGACATATTGAGAACCTTCACAAAAAAGACATTCGAAGAAAGAGGCACACGCAGGCGCTCGCACTGAGAGAAGCTATTTTCAAGTCATCCAGAAGGACAAAAAATCCCTAGGTCGCCAAGAGCAGCCTCTGTAGAACGCGACAGATAGGCTCGTGAGAATGCGACGTGGCTTGCAGTCCCGTTGGGGGCGCGTACCAGCAGGGAATGGAAAGGACATCACTGGATGTGGCGAAGGCTGAGAGTTGCAGTTGCAGATTTTGACTGCGTTTGACGTCGAGAGGTAGGGGCTGCCACTGAATTCCAGCATCGGCGGCATCTTGAACGGCATGATCAAGAGACTCATGAGGATTCACGGATCGCAGTGGCATTATAGATATGGATGGATGAAGATAACGAGGACTTCCAGCGAGGCGGTGAGGGCCGAGCTTAGTATCAAAGAGTCTGCGTCCTCCACGATGCTATCGAGAGGCGGCAAGGGGGAACTGGGAAAGTGGTCAGGCGGCAGTGAGATGGTGCATTATAGGAATTGGACAAGGTGCTCTCAGGATGTAGATTGTCAGAATTGTGGGCATGACTGGGTAGAGGTCCATCGCAGCAATGGGGACGCTGTTTCGAGCAAAGTGCAAGGTGCGTTCGCATGGGCAGGCGTGGGCGCGGCAATTGCAAGCGAGCGGTGGCGCGGTGAATCGTCCACGGCCATTTCTGCGACCCCCATCACCCTCGAACCACTTCTTCTGTCCCGGCGATCTGCTCGTTATTCTACATCTCGTAGAGGGGCTGCTGAGAAAATATTGGACCTGTGCCGAATGCCCCCTCCGTTCTTGTCTTTGTCGAGCTCGCCAATTTCTCTCAACGAACGTTACGGTCAAAATGCGCTCCAAGCCTGCTCGTGGTCTTTCGGGTCTCTCGTCGACATTCTGAGCATGAAGCTGACTGGCATCTCGTTCATCACATTATCATGAACTTTGAGGCTCTGTCGATGCGGGTGGACCGGACGATGCAAACCTTTGCGACCACGGCGCGCCGTGCAGCTGCCCACGCTACTTGTCCCGCCATAATATTACTGTCCAGAACAAGGACTCGACGCTTTCTTGTACCATAGGCTCGCTTTGGCTTTGCGAGAGTCGCAAACCACAGCGGCGGCGTCGCGCTGTCATCCATTATAGAGAACGACAGAGGTACGTCCTGCTCGTCATGTAAGACCTTGCTCTCCTTTTGCGAAGACTTCTGCGAGAGATGGAGGCAGTATGAAAGGACGTGCAATTTGATCATGCTTCGCGTCGTCCATCCGGACGGGACACTGGCATATATCCGAACGGCATGCTGTCGTTGTCATCGAGCTGGCATTGAATGTCAAGCAGGCTGCTTCATGACTTGTGCATGCGCGACACGTCCACATAACGAGCGACTGTCCTGCCGTCGTCTTGTTTCAGTCGATAGTGATCTCGAGTCTTGACGCTGGTCGGCTTGCCTTGGGAAGCTCTTCTGCCTATCTCGCGCGGATCTTTTGGATGTTCTTCATCTGCTGTCTGTTGTCTATGAAGACAACGCATAGCTTCCCATTGATCGTGAACTGCTCCGTTCAATCATCGATCGACGAATTGGCTACAAGCATAACGGGCGACTAGTGATGTGACGCAATGTCTCACCAACAAATGTTAGCGCTGTGACCGAACGTCGGTGCTCGTCGATGCATTTCGTGGACCGGGGGAAGACCGTTCGGCATCGGGATCCGCCCTATGAAGCAGAATCATCAGCTGAGAGAACATAATTCAATGGCTCACCGTGATATTCTGGGGTGTCTTTTGTGAAGGCCTCGCGTCTGGCGGGTTGGAGTGTGAAGAGGCCGGTGTACTTCTGCGGATCGATGATTCTTCCACAGAGATACATATGAGACGATCCGTATGAGCCCAACGACCATGAGACTGTAACATATATTTACTACCATGTGGCTCGTCAGCAACGCCGTCAGGATGGGCAGCGCATGGTTCACAACAGCATTCGCGCCCAGTGATGTCCCCGTAGAGTTTGCTGATAGCGCGTCTTCCAACAGCCTTCAATCGATTTAACGCATGCATCCGTCATTTTGTTTTGCGGGCCAGAGCAAGAGGCAGCAAGTGAGCAAAGGCAGCAAGTGGGCGAGGATATCCGCGCGACATTGTTCGCGGGAGCAAATCAAGTTGCAGGGGGTTGCGGAGGCGTCGCGAGAGCAAAATAAGAACGTCGCGTCGTCAAGCTGTGCGCCGCTTCAATGCTCAACTTTCCGCCCGCGAATGCCCCAATTGCGCTGTCCCTATGTGTTCCTCTTCTATTCTACGTCTAGCTGACGAGATGATGGATCTTGGATGGTCTATGACCCACGGGCCCCTCCTACGCATTTTCTACACTACTTGAAAGGTGCCAGCTGAACATCTTGCATCCCCCAGTACCACAGATCACCGGATTCGAACAAGGCTGCCGTAGTCACGTCTTTTATGATCTCTGTCTTGATCTGAACTACAGCCTGCTTGCTTGATGGATATCGCAAACTGGTGCACCTGTTCTTCGCTAACCATACAAGCTGACGGGCAAGAGACGACTTTCAGTTGTTGTGATCCCTCCTCACTTGTTGATATTGGGCGTGGCTGTCTTGCTGATCTCGCTTTTGACTTCTCAAGCCTTGATTGTAGGTGGCGGCCGATGGATCTGGTTCCCAAGTCTCGAAATATCTCCTATGGAGCTTGCGGTGCACGTCATCCTTGTGTTGATTATATAAAGGCTTGAATATAACATGGGTGGAAACGGCTCCGTCTGCAGCGTCTTCTGGAGTTCGGCGTTTTCTTGTTGGCTTGGATAACCCCCCTTCTCACGGGCTCGCAAAACGTGCGTATTTCTCCTATCCGTTTTCATCACCGCAGGACTGCCCCGATTTCGGTCCTGTGAGTATCCGCGCTGGCTCTTCACGCCTATGAATGATAAGCCGACGCGCATTTCTTGTAGTGCATTGTGGTCTGAACAAGACATACGCTTGATAAAGTGTGCATCGCCACGAGCTTGCGGCTGCACTCGAGACCTACGTTCTTTCAATGTTCAACTTGCGACCGAATCCGCTCTGGACAAGTGCTGGGGGCATGCTGGGCTTCATCAGTCTTGCATCCCTCGGCCGCATGGTTCTTTGGTGAGCGAATTGGTGGGCAAATTTGCTGCAGCTTGGTTCGCACGGCCTCTCTGCTTCCACGAAAAGTCCTTCATTGTCGGCTAGATATGGGACCATGGGTCGATACTTGAATGTTTATTCTTTTGCTGCGTCTGCGCAGGAGCATTGCTTTTGTTAACCTACAGTGTGCAGTGTTCATCCCTGAATCGTCCATCTCTGGTATCATAAGTTCCTGAACGATAATCGCACACCGAGTACGTCGTCTTCTCCCGGTTTACTTGAGTTGTTGACATTTTTCACAAAATAGAAGATCACGCTGTTATCTGCAGCTCAGATCCGTTGTAAGAACTTTCATCCGCAGAAGGAGGATTTGCATCATCGGCAAGATCTTCAAATTTTGCGCCCAGAAGGCAACTTTCTGTAGTGTTTGCAGCGCTGGAAATGTTGGCTTTTGAGGGGGGCGATCGTTGCGAATATTTTTGCGACGATGTCTTCTGCTTGCGCGCATGATGAGAGCCGGCTTCATGATCTTGAGTGTCGTAGCACACTCGCGTCGAACAGGGTGCAGTCATATCACTTCGATGCAAAGCTATATATTCTCTCTCGCTCAACTCGCTCCAAACACGAGTATATACTGGAAAGTCGCAGAGCGGCCCGTGGTACTGCATCCTTAATGCCAGAATCGAGCCTGCCGTATAACTCTGCAATACTCTAGTAACAATTGCAGTAGATGACGACATGAGTTTCAACAGTCTAATCGACAGCGGATGAATAGAACTCACCTCACAATTGCTCTCGCCGGTGAGTCGCTGAATATCGGCTTGTGCAAACCACAACCGCGGCTTTCAGCAAGCCGTATTGCAGTACATTGCACCTGCAGTAAGCTTTTCACACCATCAGCTGCCGGAGACTCCGAATTTATCAGTGGAACGGGGACTCCAAGCCCTCCGCGTCGGAGCAAAATGCCATTACAAAGTTGTTCAATGCTTGAAAAGATAATTGCGAAACGATGTCGAGAATCAGAGCGAATCAGCGGGTCTGAGGTCCGAATGATGTGTGTCATAAATCAAGGAGGAAACAACTTTGATGAAGGAAAATGACAACTAATTTTCTAGTCAAGGGAAGACGAGGTCACACACACGGCAGACATGGTGCGATTTATCAACGTAGAAAATTGTGTGTAAATGTCGACTGATTTCTTACACATGCGACAAATATTTGCAACCACGGCATTTCATGTCGAAAATGTTTCACTTTGGCTGCTAATGTGCGCTATTTTCCATTTACATGCTACATTGGCAAACCTTTGCCACAAATGTAAAACATCAGCCGACATCCCCACACCATTTTCCACGTTGGTAAATCGCACCATGTCTGCCGTGTCACAATTGTACACGATCCGCGTCCGCGACGCGCTGTGAAAAGCACGTGATGCACTGATACGATCACGAGCTCATGTCCACGTGGTGCCATGACCTAGGCCGGTGTGCGCGCCCGTGTGCGCGCCACGAAGCTACCGACTGGCCATGGTGCGACTGGCCATGGTGCTGGCGGTCATTCTTGTGACCATTATATTTCTCGCGATTGGGCTCTCCGCAGGTCAAGTGAGATCTTTCAACGTAGAGATTGTGTCAATGATCACTCCGTCACAATAGGATTGCGTTCATATCAGTCGGTTCGTGCCGTTTCTTCCCATTTCCACTAGTCAATGGTCTTGCCGCCATGATAATGTTCACCGCTGCGTTCAGCATAAGCATAGGAAAAACAGAGTGGCATGAACAAGAAAGCATGTAGAGAACATTCTATGCAACTGCACTTATTAAAAGATTTCGAAGCGACCATTCGCAGGATTTCTGATATCTAATGGGAAAAAAAGGAAGACAATCACCCGGGAACGCGGTCCAAGGTGGGGAAAGAGGAAATAATGTATATCAAGTATCCATCGGTTTGATACTTTAAGCCATAGAACAGCAATCCGTGAAAGCAAGCACTCTGCTGTCCGAGGCGTGAGCAGCTTGGGAGGAGTCTGGAGGTGTTATTAGTACTGTTCGGCCAGACATCATCATTGCAACAGCGACGTCACTCACTTGTCAATGGTCATTGTCCATCAATGTCATAGAGCTCCATCTACGAGTTCGCCAACGTCCGAAACGACGTCTCCTACATTCTCACCGACTTGCCTGCGGACGGAACTACCCGATAGAGCTCCATCTACGAGTTGGCCAACGTCCGAAAGGACGTCTCCTACATTCTCACCGACTTGCCTGCGGACGGGACTACCCGATAGAGTCCCATCTACGAATTCGCCAACGTCCGAAAGGACGTCTTCTGCATCGCCTTGCCTGCGGGAGACACTGCCACCCGATAGAACCCCATCTACGAGTTGGACAGCGTCCGAAAGGATGTCTTCTACATTCTCGACGAGGCTGTCCATGAAACAGTTAACGGTGGCGTTGTGGGGGAAATAAGGATTGACGCATTACCGTTTGACATGAATGCTTACGTCCGTGGCGAGGTCCACAGAGACGATGGGAGCATCGCGAGACGCAAGTCCAACAGAGGTGACCTCCCTCGTTTGAGCGATGGGGCTTGCAGAAATGTGGAGCGCGAAGGCGATGAAAGCGATGATGCTAAGACGCATGGTGATAGGTTAAGGAGCGACGAATAGTTGAAAGAGCCGGATGCAATGAGCGAACAAGGTTGAGAACGAAGGGTGGATTTCCTGTCAAGGATTGGGCTGTGTGTAGGTTGTTCTGAGTCCCTACAAGGCAGGCCTTTATATATGCGGTCCGGTCATTCACAGGCTTCGCGAAGGAAAGGCGCCTACCTCGTCTTACAAGGGTATGAGGTTTGTCGGGACAATCGGAAGCAGACTGTCAACCTGACAAGTGGCGCATTTCAGCTACCGAACGTGCGTAGGCGTCATCATTTTGAGGGACCCCCCCCCCCACGCGGCCTGTGAGTGGATTGCGCACCCGAAGATGTAGATCTGTGACACATTGATACGAAGGACATTTTGAATTTTTGACATTTTAAACGCACCATTATGTGAGGAGAAGCAGTTGATTACGCCGACGGAACTCAGTATGATTGAACGGTGCACTGAAAGCAAGATGCTGACTACATCTAACGTTTGAGGGTCGTTGGGGAGTTTCGGTCCCATGAATGTCTGCACCATAATTCGGATGCGCCACGTACGTCGGATTAGGGAAGTCTTTCGCGGGCAACCAAAAAAAAAAGCGATTGTGCAAGGCGATTGTGCTGATGAATCGCGAAAAAGACGGATGAAATTGACACCACAGGAATCCACGCTGCTAGTTGCTGAGAAGTATTGATAAAGTCTGTCACCAGGATCAATCCTCGGAGGGATCTACAAGATACTGAAATCCGCGCCTGAGCCCAAAAAGGTCTTGTGCTTCGTACGTACGGGTATGAACGACTCAGACTCAGCCGCCAGATGTGCACGAGGTTGCACTCTCAGCACGCTTACCGGTGAAGAATGAGTGAGTCTGGAGCTACCCGAACAGCGGCAAGCACTATATCAAAGCGGCGGGACTGGCCTTGTTTCAAGTCTTTCTTCCATGTCAGCTCGACATTGCAGAAACGATGATCCCCGAAAGGAGGAAGGACGATTGCGTTGACAAAACCATACCCCAACGGGGCGAACCCGAAATACCGGAAGGTTGCCAACAGCTGCCTGCTGAGTCCCCGGACCAGGCTCGTTGGGCACAATATTAATATTACTCATACTGATCATATGCGCGATAGAACGCGGTCAGCGAGCGTATGACTGAGTTTAGATGTCGATGTCAGATATGACAGAATGAGAACAGTTGCACGCTGGTCGATGAGTTTCGTGTCAGTGGCATGGGAGCTGAAGGGGAAAGGTACACAGCATGCAAGCGGCCGAATTGCGGCGTCTGGAGTGAATATGCAGATCTGCACATGGTCGAGCTGCACGGGCAAAATCAAACAAGCATATTTACGCTCCATCAAATTCAGGATCTGTACAGCTCGAAATAACGCAGCGATGAACGTACCACCAGTCCCACCAGCCCATACGACCAGATCAGCATCAGCCATGCAGGCGAGGGGCAGGCGTTCCCACTGCTCTCCTGTTCCTCCTCCTCTCCGACAGCTCGTGTTCCCATCCCTCCGATCAGATGACAGCTATAATCATGCGATACATCGCACTCACTCAGCGTGAACACACCTTGACACTCTGGGTCAACGTTGGACTCGTTGTCGACGAAGTCATGATCAGCGATGATCAAGTTCCTACCGCCTGCCAAAGTTGACGCTGAGCGGCATGGAAATCACTTCACTTACTCTCGAGATGCTAATGTCGATCTCAAATGCCCTCGAGTACCCCGACATCTTCACCGTTTGTCAAGCCGTCTTCTGCAGTCTCATGCGACGTCATGGCTCGTCACATTCATCTTTTCTCGGAGGATGTTCTGAGAAAGCATACTTCGTTCTCGTTCGCATCTGCCGCCCAGAATCGCACCGTACGCCGCTTTGATTGTAACCGTATTCCATCAAGATTACTTCGACGAAAATGCGCAACGGGACGACGTCGGAGAGCCCAGACACTTGTGCTCACGCGACAAGCATTTCAGACGAAGAACCCCTGACATAGAATGTGCACATTGCGAGAGAATAGACTTTCGACAATATAGCACGCAGATGAGGTACAATGAGCGCGAGAAAAGATCGTGAGCTGAGAGCCTGTAGAATACGTTGACGTTGAGTAAAGCCCCGGCAGGGTGTTAATGAGGAGCAGATCGGTCATATGTGAGAGACTTCAAAGATATAGGAGGACTTCTACTGCCGAACGCCTGCGAGAAGTTACGGCGACGAGCGTCTGCTCCTCGACGAGGTCCTAGAACTGTCATGTGATGGCTACACGCCAGCCATCTCGCAATCCGGTTGCAGGCTGAAGCCTGTCCACAACGCTTTCATACTCCGGGACGATTCCCCTTTGCTGCTTAAGTTGTTCATCGAGATGGGATGTCGGGGCTGTCGATGTACCGCATTACGCATGCGCTATTGCTCAGACATAGCTCTTCACGGCTGGAGGATTGACAATGCGCGTGCCCGAACCAATACTGGTACGTTGTTGCTCCTGGAAAAGCATTCTGAAGCTGGGCTGGGATGTGAGTGACGTTCACGCAGCGAGGGGAGTGAACTTACACTCCCAGCATCATAGATATTGCACTCTAGCGCCTGTCCTTGGTAGAGACACCTCGTCTCGTCGTAGCGCAATTCAAGCCAGATTCAAGCGGTATCATAAGCAAGAATCAATACTCGCAGTTAGATAGCAATGGCCTCCCTCCTCAATAGGATGGGCTTTCCTTCCATGTCTATAATATGTGGCGCAGCCATGAGTTCAATAGAAGGCTCAAGCTCATCCGGTCCCATTCCAAATGATTGATGATTGAAGAAGCGATATATAAATCCTTCGCAGCGTCAAAGGTTCAGTGCAGCCTCTGATATGAGGTCCTGTGCAATCGTTTCATTTCGCGATTGCTTCTTCTTCTGCACAATTGCCAGAGTGAAGCTGGCCTTTCTAACGTCATTAGACGGTGGGCCTGAGCAGAGTCCTGAAAGGCTTTCCTTGTTCCTCAGATCGATGCAGGTGTTCAACAATTGCTTGATCTGTGCCCCGCTGTGTATGGAGGATGACACAGATCAGATGAAAGGACGCACTCACGCGAGCGTTTGAAGATGTGTTGGTTCATCATCCAGCATACTTTTCAAAGAAGGATCAGGTGAGTTTCACTTACTAGTAGCTTCGTATCCATGTGTGTCCATTATCTTCGTTCCAGACAAACGCATCCAGCCGCAATCTTCTCGCAGTCCCATCCGGCTCTTCTCCAGTTTCTAGGGAGACACAGACCAGCGAATAGCAGTGAACATATGTATGGATGCTTGTGCGGAAACGTCCATTGCAGGCCGAGTTCGAACGGACGTTATCTTGCTCGGCGAAGAAACGTTGCGCAGCCAGTTCGCTAGACGAATGGAAATCGTGGTTTAAATGCCTGTTGCCGCGTTGATCAATAATGCGGGTTGTGGTCCAACTGTCGACCTGTGGAGGATCTACAACGAGCGTCGTGGTCCAAGTGCTGCAGACGCGTCGGTGGCGTTGAGAAGAATAGCAACCAAGCAGCGGAAATGGCCAGAAGCCCCCGCGCGAGCAGAAAGGTCAGTGCCCACATGCTGAGCGTGCGTTCCATAGATATACTTCCTGATGTTGGTAGCCAGATGGGTCGCCACAGTTGTAGAAATGTGACCAGACGAAATTGGTGTGGCGTTGAGCCCCCGCTTGGGCACCTGACTTGATGGCCAAACATACGAGCCACGCCAAGTTCAACAACAAAGGCAAACGCGTGGCCACTCTGCCTCAATCTCCATCCCTCGTTAATGGCTTCCTCTACCATGCCTGCTGGGCCTAGTGATCGGCGTGTGGTCCTCATCGTGCATATGATTGATCCCCGCATCCCCAACCGCGATGACGCGAATGTATATCAACAATGCAAAGAAGCAATGCACGCGAAACTGATGGACTCCTTTCGCGATTGCGAGGTAGGAAATTCCACGTTGGATCGTGTAGCAGCGTATCAACCTGGTGAAGATCGGTATACAGGAGCGCCTACACCAAGAAATGAGTGATGAGAGCTCAAAAGTCCACTGTGGCTTAATGGAAGGCTGCAAGGTTGGTAGATCCACTCGTCCGCCGATTGTCACTGATTATCGTCCAGCTCATCTTCGAAGAGCATGAAAAAGGGGAAAGGGACGGACGTTCGATCGTTTCGATGCATATTGTGCTGTGGAAGGTGGAGAAGAAGAAACCCCGCGACCAATGGAAACTCCCTCTGGTATGCCTCGACAAAATTCACTCTGTACGTGACCTTTCGTGTCTTATATCAGATGGCATCTGTGAATACCCGTGCTTGTCCACAGCATAACGTTCATGTTTCAACGGTCTGTAAAATTTTGTCCGCTGGTGACCTAGAACTCTTCAATAGAGTACGTGTCAGGATGCAGACACAGCTCCCGCATTTATTCACCTCCAGTTTCCAGTGTCAAAAAGGTATAGAACTGGGGTATGAGGATCCGACATCGTGGGATGGTTGGCCGAAGAATGGTCCGCAAGCCTACCTTATAGGCTTCGACGCTTTGCCACCTACAAGTGAGTGAGTATGATTGCGTGCCACGTTCGGACGTACTTACCGGAGACAGCACGATGGATGTCACGTCCCTCAATCCAACCGGCAGGGCAAGTTGTGGGACAGAGGGGCGCCTTTGCGGCAGCAATACGGGCTCATTCAATGCCGGAGGCCTCCCTGACGACGAATGTTGAACGACGACGTAGGAAGAGGACGGCGGATGATATACCAGTGGTCGATTCTATGAAGAGAGCCCGGTTGGATGACGCCACACTCCAGGCCACTTCGGGTTCCTCCGCGGAGCCTTCGCTTCTAGCCTCAACGAGAGTTAGTACAAACGTTGATGCGCGGGGAAAGGGGAAGAAGAATAGAAAAGGTAAGTATAAGGCGACCAGGGCATCAAATGCCGTGTCGCGTGATATAGAACGCGTGGCCTCAACCAGTAGAGCGGCAGTAGTCACCGCTAGTGGAAAGGAGAAGGCGACTGACCGTGAAATAGCGAGACCGGATAGCACTGGAAGGGCATCCTTGGCGAGCAGATCAATGATCGCGATTGATAAGGGCAAGGCAAAGGGAGTTGATATTGCTGGGTCGCAAGCCGCTTCGTTGCCCATCGCACCAGCGATCCCTTCACCGACCTCGATCAGCCGAAGCTGGCGCGCGGGACCCGCAGCCGGTGACAGTGAGGGAACGAAGAGGGACAACGGAAAACAGAGAGAAAGCGATCGTGGGCATTCTTCGACGCTGTCGATCTCATCCTCTCACCCACTCTCGTTACGCACACCGCGATCGGCCATTCCACAAGCTACTGTCGCTTCAATGCATGCTGCGGGTCGACCTATGCCGCCACCTGCTGTGGTACCATTGAACACAACGACAGCTTTGTTCCCGTCCGTAACTCATGGGACTACTGATAGCGGTGAGTCTGTTGCCTAGAATGATTTTCACGTCACTCATGCGTTGCTTGAAAACTCTCAGCATCTGCTCGACTGCTTGCTCATCACGTCTCTATTCCCGTTCCTCCTGCAGATGAGCCACTCACTGGAGGCAGTCAGCCTGATAGCTCACACACAAGGCCATATGCTGACCACCTTCCTGGTGATGATTCGGATCAGACGATTGATAGCTTGTTCGACGCGAGCTTTAGCAGCAGTGACGTCACCGTTAGTAGTAACATTGTACTGTCAGCAGCCGGTGCGAGTACGAAATGGGGTCGTAATGGCGAAGAGTCCACCCGCGCCGAGAATGCACGCACGGATAGCAGTGGTCAGTGCACATTCCTCAAGACGAAATCGGGTTTCGAGCTGACGACTTCCTCATGGCATTATAGTGTCTACTGCTCGTCGACATTCTCAGCATATCAGGGGTCGTCGATCTTCTGCTAATGCCTCGACTTCGAGGGTGCAAGAGCAAGGTCTGCATAACCATGTCTGCCTCTACTTGCATATACTCATCTATATATTCTTGAAATCAGACTCGACGATGGCCAACAGGGTCGAATCCATTACTGACATCAATATTCGTGCTGTGTGCGATTGTCTAGTGCAACACTATGCAAAAAATCCCAATGATCCGGTATTTCAAGAGATGTTCGGTGGGCTATTCCGCGGGTTTTCTAGTATGTTTTGTATCTCATTTCGCTTGTCAGATTTCTATTACCGGCTAGAGAGTGTACCTGCCGTCGGTGTAAAAGCCTCAACCCCAATATTCAGCGATACGACAAATCGGGACTTGCCGTTAAGCGGTGCGTCAGCTGCACGAGATGTCTTGCATATGTCATCTTACTCATTGTTCGTAGGTGATCACTTAGCTGTGCCGACTGGAATGACGCGAACTATATCATCGATCAGCATAGCAAGTACGGACAGTACACGTCCAGCGAGCAGGAGAAGTTCAAATGGTGCGCCGAGAAGCAAGGGAGCATCAATGAACAAGGAGAATGTCAGAACTGTCAGCAGACGAAGTTCAGGAGTCACATCGGGGAACAATGATAGCATCGGTGACGAACAGGCGAATCCGAAGGACGACGAGAATCATGTCGAGTCAGGTACGTGTCCGGCCAACCTTAGATGCTGCTCGATTGACATAGCGGATGCAAAACGTTTTGTTAAGCTGCTTCAAATGTACGCGCAACTGACGCAGATGCATCAGAGCCTGCATGCATGAATGTCAGACCGGAGGACGAATGTCTCCCTGTCTCTCAGGAAGATGACGAGGACGAGGAAGACATGAGCGAGCGTGATAATGACGAAAGTATGAAATTCAAGCTGATCAAATGGCCCATATGCTCATGATGACGCGATTCAGCTGTAGATTTCCTGCTGAATGAGATGGAAGAAGCACCATCCGACGATGCTGAAGAAGCGCAATATCAGAACGGAATTGTCTCCTCCCATCGTACGTGCTAGTCCTGTTTAGACAACGAGGTTCTTGTTGATGATGAATCGAATAGCAGTGAGGGATCCAGTCAACGCTGTTTTGGACGACGCGCGTGTCAAATCCGTTGTGTTTAGCAGAGATGCGGATCTTTTCGGTCATGATGGTACGCACAATCCCACTTATGGTGGCGTTGTACGTACATTGACTCAATCTTTCGTGTGGCATATGACGTTACTAGACGATTGGTTGGCGGCCGCTCTCAACGATGGGTCGGATGATAGTGTTCAAGAGGGACATGGTAGTAACGAAACAGCCCCTTCCGGTACGGTCATGATGGTTGACATATTTCTCCCTTCAGTGGCAGATGCGGCTGAAGGGAATCCTGAGAAGAGAGGTGCAGGGTCTACTATGACCCAAGAGGATGATCAAAATCATGGTGACGGCGTAGCTGAGCCATGGGATGAGGGTATGCAGTTTCATCATCTCTCTAGATAATATAGGCCAAGCTAATTCTTCTCGCGTGCTGCAGATGACCTGTTTTCTGACGATAAACTGGAGGACACAGCTTCTGATTTCCCCGGTGCGGTGCCCATAAATGTGTCCACGGACAATGCGTTGGAAACGCACCAAACTGATGGAGCTGCTCCAGCTTTCGGTATACAGTGTACGCACGTGTATTTTTGGACTGAATCTCCGAGCTCATGACGGTTCCTCTTTCAGCTTCAGAATTTACAGATGCAGATGCGGATGGAGAAACGGAAAGCGATTTGTCATCCGATCTATTCTCAGATTCTGACTCGGATTAAGGAGTTTAAATGTATCAGCAGCCAAAGCTGACGGGTAGATGTGTGGATGGAGCATTTGGTTTGACGATCGTGCAGCTCTCATGACGGTTGACTTGCTGTATCTCACAATCTATCATGTTAACAATGTACAGTATCTTACGTGCAATCCCAATTTCGATTCTCAATAGCATTAATGACTTCTGCATCTCATAATGCGGCGAATCACAGACGTATGATGGAGTCTTGCTGGCAGTGGGTACGTTCGTCTCGTGCCACATATCAGATATCTTTCAGAGACAGTGCGGCAAACCCAGTTCTTGCACCGCATGGCGCGTCATATAGTCACCATGCACTGTTGATTGAAGACGCGACAAGAAAACGTGAAGTACATTCTTTAATATGTACGGAACGCCCAAAGCCGGAGAAGGTGTGACGATGTATGCTATATCTTGTACTGTTGGCGCACTATTGCACCCACCATCACTAAACTGAACCGACTTCACAGAATTTTGTTTTCCCGTGCAGAGGCACCGTGGCGATTTCTTCGAAGTAACCTTGAGTCGAGATATTGCAGCTTGAACGGAACAAGAAAGTTGCCGTCATACTCAACATATTTCTCAATGATCAGCCTAAGCCTTCACGTTTTCGGCACTTCAAATTTCATACCGTTCAGACTGAGAATCTAATGTCACTTGTTGACACACTGTTCGCACAGAGAATCAGGTCATGCACGGAGTCTATGGAGGGCCACGAAAGTGGAAGACTGCACTAAGCGACCACTCAGTAGAGATTCCATCCCGATACGGTTTGTCTATCTGCATAAAAATCATAGGAGTGCAACAGAGAAACGAACATCTCAACAGCAGAAAACATAGCCAGACAATACTATGCGCATGTCAGATAAGATGGTCATATCAAGAATCAGTCTATGCAATGACTAGCGGCTACGAGGATCTGTGAAGAAGATTACCATGCCTGGACGGTGACTCACCCCCCTCCGGCGGCTTTGTGATTGCTGCCTACAACGATCCCTGACACGGTTCTGCTGATACCCCAACACTGTCATTCAAAGACAGTGGATCGCATGCTCCGAGAGCAGATCGCTCGTCATTCCCTGATGGCTATGAGATGACCCACTTCATGGCGTCATATGTGGTGGCAGACTTACTGTCCAACACGACATCTCTGCGCGACATATCTCCACCAACATCACCGATCAGCCTCCCGCCTATCTGCCCTCCCGCAAGAACCTTACCGGAGACGAAAGGACTGTTGCCATTGTCCGCCGAAGAGGGGTTAGCAAAGGGCTCGAAGGGCGGAGTGGACGGAAGAATTCCAGGGAATTCAGAAGGAAGAGCTGTGGGGATCCCAGGAAATCCAGGGAATCCAGACGAAAGCGCCGAAGGAAATCCAGAAGGAATAGCTGAAGGGAATCCACTGGCAGAAGGAAAAGGTGGAGGAGATCCAGAAAAATGAGGAAGACCGGGAATGCCAGAGGGGACAGGAAAATGGAACTTTGGAAGGACGTAGGAGTGCTAGAATCTGCAGCGGAGGTGCTGCTAGAATGGGTTGGGGTGTGAGGGGAGACCGGTGCCGCGGTGATGCGAAGGGCAGAAATGACGAATGCGAGCAACGGTAGACGCATGGTGCTAGCGATTGAATAGAGAACTATGAATGTAGCAGGTGCCAGTGGTGTAGCACTGCTTGAATGATGAGCCTATGAGTGAAGATGTGTGTGCTGACTGCAAGCCGCGACCGTACGTCTTCTGGGATAAATCTACGTGCAAGTAAGCCTTTTATATGCATCCCTGCCCGTGGTACCGTTCAATCGGATTTTGCAACAGAGATCGACTTGTCACTAGTCACTTCTCGTTCGTGTCTCCTGATTTGCAAATAACTTAGCCAGTCAATTTCGAGGTTGATCGTTGACGTACATCGATTGCACGGCCAGTGGCTGTCTGATGTTTGGGTGCTCGAAAGTCAGGAATCGTCCGAGAAAAGCCAACTTGAAGGTGGTGCCATGAGCCGCAGAGTTGCTATGATGTCGGCTCCAGATGTTGATCAGCTTGCGTAACGTACAAAATGCAGTCCTCTGTTCAAGTGTAGATCGTTCAACGAGGATACCGAGACGGGCGAGATGATACACACAGGAATGGCGTGATATTCCATTGAGCAGGCTTCTCCGATCGCAAGCAACATAAGAGGCTGGGAGTGAGAGGTGGTTGGGGATCAGAATGCAGCGGCGTTTTCTAAGACTGGCCCTTGGGGTCACAAGCTGTATATAGTCATTCCCAAGGTCGATGGACTCGTTCTGGAGATGGAATGGAATTTACTTGGTTGAATAGATTATAGTGGGGAGCACTAAGATGTGCGTTGGGGGGTGAGAGGATTCGGCCGCGTAGTGCGGGTTAGGGTTACCGCGCAAAGGTTTCGAGCTCAGAAACGGTTTGAGGTGCCACGCCAGGCGCTGTTTGCAAGCGATGAGGGCAGGTAATATGGGCCGGTTTGCACGGTGGCCGCAATGCCGATTTCCTGAGCACTCGAAGGCCGGATTTCTCGAGTGTGAAGTCTGTGCCATAGGATAGGTGGCATGACTACACGGCTACCAGCGAAACGCTTGGAGTGGGTGGGTGGGTGAGCTACGAGAAAGTGAGATGCGACGTGTCTCCTCCGTCCGTCTGCTGAGAATGAAAAAGTTCTTTCATTGCGAGAAACGAGCGCTGGGTATGAACTCCACTCCAAAAATGAAACCACGACAAAAATGGCGCGATAAATGAGCACTCACTGGCAGCATGTCACCTCGAATTCGCTATGAAGTAGATGGTAGAGGATGTGCAATGAACGGGAACGATTAGCGTTGACAAGTCCTCCGGACAGCTCGGGACTTGATTATTCGCATCAGAACAATGGCCACGGGCATGTAGCACCAACTTTGTAGACCTCGATGTCTGGGGAGGAGCTGTGGCGGATGATCTCGGACGACGGACGACAATTTTCGGGGACCTTGAATCCAGATGTCACTCGTCAACGTGGTGATTTTGTGGCCACAAGCTCATCTGCAGTCCGTACTCACCGAATCTCCGCAGCTGTTGCGTGCAAAGACGTTCAATGCATTACGTATGACTCAGAAGTTAATGATGCAATGTCATGGCGAAAATAAATCCACATTGCTCGGCCGAGAATAGTATGGCACGAAATTGCGGGTTCGGATTGTATGAACCGCGATCTCAACGATCACCCTTTAAATCCCATGCAAACCCAATATCCTTCGCTTGACTCTCCACGGCTCGCCGCCGGCTTGCTGTTGTAGACGGCATTGAAATGTGGCTTAAGTTCTTCATTGCGGAATTTTGTCAATAGTGGATCCTCGAAGTATTTGATGCTGCTAGCTGATCAGCGGCAGACATGCAAAGGAAATTAATGTACATACATAAGGACTCCAGCCTTGCGTCTTCCGACATCCTCTGCATTCCGAAGGTGTCTTCTCGCAAAGTTTGCTGCCGCAGTACAGACGTCAAGGCAAGATTCGATATCGTGCGCTCTGTTCCCAGTGACATTTGCAGCCATATCGGACAGTACAACGTCAACCTTCCCGTCGGAATTATTTTCCTTTGTGACAAGCGAGGTCACGAAGGCGTCCGCTTGTGGGGATAAGAAGTCCATTTGAACGGTCTCGACACCTTCCATTGGGAGCATGCGTAGAAGGTCTACGGCGACAATCGTACCTCGCTCGTCCTTCTGCGTGGTATCTGGCTTTGTAACTTCCGAGATACCAAAATCATGAAGCGAGTCTGGAAGATCGTGGCTGCCGAAGCCAACCTCCGCTCCACGCTGTGAGTATTCTGCGTCCGCCTCTGAACCTGCACGTCTGTTCTTGCGAGGAAATCCTACGACGTCCTCTTCCATCAAGCCAAGCTTCCAAGCAGCAACTTGGCTCCATCCACCGGGAGCGGCGCCGAGGTCAACCACGGCGCGGACATCGTGCTGGAAGATCCTCCATTTCTCGTCGAGTTCAAGCAGTTTGAAGGCAGACCGTGATCGGAAGTGCAGTGGGTGACTAGCGCGCTGGCGCACGTATGGATCACGGAGTTGGCGAGAAAGCCATGTGGTAGACGACGGTGGCCGCTTGCACAGGACGCGTGTGGCCGCGAAAGACATCCTGCGGCAGCGATAGAGACACTAGGATGATTATGTAAGAGCAGTTTGTTTGGCAACAGCCTCTGTTCCAAACAAACGCTGCGCGCATTTCGTTTTTGCCTCAGGCTCTGCGCTTCTCAGTTCTGGCGAGTTGAAATTACTGCTTTTACAGTCGCTTGAGGGGATTTTTCATGCCTCTATCTACTTTCTCTCCGGGATATGTACAAGTCGATGCGTTTGGCCCCGATGAGGGATACGAATCAGACGAAGAAGTTACGTTTGTGACCCTGGACCTCGGTTGTGTCGAACCTGCTTTGGTCCCAAGCAGTTCCTCGTATCGACTGATAGTGAGTCACGTTTGCAAGATATCCCCAGAATCATCTTTCTCCTGTTTCCTGTTATGATCCTGCATGTGGACTCTCCCATTTATGCTGGTCAGTCAGTGTATGTGTGCGTTACTCGCAAGTCTTGATACTGGTCTCATGTTATGCTCTTTCTCTCAATCCCGCAGCGATACGTAAGCAGAGTATCTCCATATGACCAGTGAATGAAGTAACCCTTGTTGATATCTTGCGAACTCCAGTCATGCACCATTCAGACGAGGTTCTGTCTATGTTCACGATGGAATGCTCAAGTACATGCTCTTGCAATCATGCACTGTTGAGCCAGCCAATCCAAGTAGTCACCTAACCTGTTGTTCCTTCCCAGGGTCTGGATACACCGACACCATTCCTGCAGCTCTCCGGTACTATATTCAAGGGACAACATCAGTCTTTGTTAGGGACGGAATTGCTATTCACGGATGCAAAAGGTCAGTGTTGTGTCTGGGCTCTTTGCACCTGTTCATCAGGGTCATTCAATTCCTTGTGTCTGTGGCGCAACCGCTATGTGCTAACTTGCACTTGGTCTCGCAGACGACAATCAGGAGCGAAACAAGAGAACGCTGGCCCACGTTGGCACCACCGAGCAACGCATCCGGTTCAAAGAAGTCGAGCTGAGGGAGCGGAATGCCAGTAGTGTCTCACAACCAGAGCAGACCGCGGAGACTGGCCAGAGCAAGAGCAAGAAAAACAGGATCCCAGAGACAGTCGGGGAAGTCGTTGGCAGTACTATTCCAGATCCCGAGCCGCCTCGTAGACGCGGTGGACGGAGACGTCGTACCGAGCCGATGGAGGGGAATCTTGAGAATCAGAGCAAGGGGAAGGGAAGAGGAAAGGGGAAGGGGAAGGAGCGCGAGACGATGCAGCCCGGAGACGTTTCTGCGAACGGAACAGGAGAAGAACTTGGTGCAGCCGCCGACGGTGAAGAGCGAGTAACTGTTGACGTTGTTGAGGGGCTGCAGCCCGATATACAAGACAGTCCGGGTGAGAACCGAGGTGTGCATCAGCAGATCGGTAGCGAGGAGGTTCCTGGGCATATGGTCATTGATCCTGATCTAAGTGGACTATAGCAACGGTGCGTCGACCAGTCGATTTGCTGTGCAGTGTTGACTGTTTCCTGAAAACGGACTCAGTCAGGCTCTGTGCTGTGTCAAATAGCCTCGGGGAGCTGCGTCGGATTTATTCCACCTTTCTAGTACCTTATGAGCGATGTGCAACTTCGTGCTATCATACTCCTTTCAAACGCTAAAGAAGGCTGAGACCTGGGTTGAAAGCCTCAATGTACGCAGTAATGCACTTAACTATTAGTATACGTAGCGTCAACTGATTACCACCGCCCATTTGCTGGCAGTCTTCCCGGTCTGCGTGCCTGTTTTTACATCTCCTACCTTCTTCCATACTGTGAGTGCTTTCAAGATCTCGAGGATTGTTCTCTTCTCAAACGAGGTTTTCTGTCGCACAGACCCCACGTACAATGGCTTTCGGCGGTAACACTGTGGCATTCCGAAGACCCGTCAACCTGCAGACATACGTTGTGCGCCATTTATCCCAACGCATGCGGAAGATGCTGGAACAGCGACGACCACTCATGTCTCGAGGATTATACTGCGACCTGAGGTGGGCTGGAACAAACACGTTTTAATAGAGGAGGTGGCCCGCGCAGAGGACATACGACATGCAGGCTGCAGACAGGGTAAAGCAGTTCTTGCCGAGAGTTAGGGCGATCAATGAAGCGTCTTGCTCGAGGCTTAGCTACGACATAAGACATGTCCTCGTGGATGATGTTGGAGAGGCGCAGGAGCCTGGTTATGGTATTAGCAGACAGTGAGGGTATCCGACAAGAGCTTTGCACATCTCACTGTCAGGAAATTCAGAGGCAATATTGGACAGATCGTCGACTGAGAAAGAGATGACATTCGCATGAAGTTTGCAATGGTGAAGCAGATGTCTTTGGTCGAAGAGCACCCACAGATTCAACGCTCAGTAATACTCTCCAACCGGGCCACAGATGCTCAAATGCTCGTGGACGATGGTGATAAACTTCGCGTTGGGCTACAGGTGATCGCCGATTGGTGTCTAATCTCGCGAGTCGTCAGACGCCTTCGTAAATGCACGAAATGGGATCGCAAGTCCTTGCAAAATTACATGTGCCGGCATTAATTACAAGAAAATGAAAATGAACATAAAAGGTAGGGAAAACGGGGTGACGGCATGCCAGTAGTCGAGATTCTGTTTGAGAAAGCCAACACTTCTTCGCAGCAGTAATAGCAAGCGAAAGTAACACGCTTATTGTGGCAATCATGCACCAAAGCCGTAGAGGGTGCGACCTGAACGCTTGAGAGCATAAACGACATCGAGGGCGGTCACCGTTTTCCTATAAATGCCATCGATCAGTAGGGATCGCGCATCAGAATGAATCGCCAAACCTCTTGGCGTGCTCGGTATATGTAACCTGCGTCATGAGCAATCATGATGAGAAGTGAGCAGCGCTTTCAGTGATCAGACGCAATGAACGTACTGAGTCCCGAATGACCTGAATGTCGAAAGATGTGAGCTAGCTAAATCATACACTCAAAGAGGTAGACATACGTTCTCCAAGAAGATCTTGAGGACACCGCGCGTCTCTTCGTATATCAGGCCGGAGATACGCTTGACACCACCACGGCGGGCGAGACGACGGATAGCCTGCAGAATACGCGGCGATCAGCTTAGGACGCCTCGAATAACGACGCAGAAGGGCTCAAGACGCACCGGCTTGGTGATACCTTGGATATTATCGCGCAAAATCTTCCGGTGTCGCTTGGCACCGCCCCTGTCAAGATGGTGTTCAGCGTGAGACGGCCCCAACAACGGTGGCATTGAACACTCGAGGCACTACAGCACATACTTTCCGAGACCCTTTCCACCCTTTCCTCGGCCAGACATGATGCTCGGTGCTGCTTTCTACGTTATAGGCTTACCTGTGGAAATGCACATTGCACACGCAGAGCACGTGGCAGGTTTCTTTTGTTAATTCTGACAACTATATATATATATCCCGCGTCAAGTAGCAAGTACTGTAGTCTCCCGTGGCGGACGCGACAATTTCTTCAACCTCCGCAGGCTGCGGACATCCTTGTCTGACGCGTCACTGAGTGCTTATGGAGACTTTCGATGTGAAAAGAAGGTGACACTCGATCGTAGAGGTTTGAGGCCTCGCACAGGTACCATGTGAAGGGGACCCACTGAACCAAAGCCTCGAGACAAGAAGAACCTAGTACATATATGATTACGGCACGCATGTGAGCCTCCTTTCTCCCCATCTCTGTCTGTGATCGCGCGCTCGTCGACAACATGAGTGCTTTCGGCGAGGTGGTAGACCTGACCGCCCACATCGAATCAATTCTCAAACGCTATCCGTTCAGCATTGGCATATTTAGGGAACTGCTCCAGAATTCCGACGACGCAGAAGCAAAGAAACAGGTATGGGATCATCGCAGACAGCGCAGGATCACAATATGACCTCGCCACGTACACAGGTTTTCCTACTCGATAATCGCGTGCATCGTCACGACTCGATCATTGAGCAGACGCTATTGAGTCTACAAGGCCCTGCACTACTTGCTTACAATGACGCCACGTTCAGCGAGAGTGACTGGAAGTCGCTGCAGAACATTAATCGATCATCCAAGAAGATAAACACTGAGTATGTCGTTCTCAGGCATCGTGCTCCAGCGTTCTTATCTCTTATCTTCAGTAAAATCGGAAAGTACGGAATCGGACTTCGCTCAGGCTATCATGTGAGTCAATGAGGCATCAGCTCTGTCGTTGAGCGGGCGATACTGATGCCTGTTAGGTCACGGACAACCTTGAAGTTCTTTCTGGAGACTCGTTAGTCATCTTCGACCCGCATCGCCGCCTCATTCCAGAAGGAGGCAAGAAATGGTCTCTTGCGGACATACACCAGAATTATCCCGACCAGCTGTTACCATTCGGGCACTTTCTGCCCGAGAACCCGAGCAATAATTTCGATGGCACGGTCATACGACTACCATTGCGTCAAGCCGGCAACGGGAGCCTGATCAGCGCCAAAGTCCCTGATATCCGCGAGCTCGAGCAGCTCATGGTTGAATTTGTTGAAAAGGAATTGCCCATCGTAATGCTCTTCCTCTCGCATATCACTCGCGTTGAGCTCATCATACTCGACGATGATGGCACCACTCGTGTGGTTGGCAAAGCGGACATCGAACGCAAGCCCTCCACTGCTCAGACTCTTAGCGAACCTGTTCAATCAACAGACTGCACGGTCAACGTGCATCGACTCGACCATGCCGTCACGCAAAACGATTCGTACGATTGGCATATCCTGCATGCATCCTTCTCCGAGGAGGACTGCGTCAAAGCTCTCAAGGAGCGCTTAGGAGTAGATAGCGAATACGATGTTCTGGCCGATCTCAAAGCTGAGAAGCTGTGCCCGACGAGCGGTAGCCCCGTAGCGATTGCATTCCCACTCTCCCATCAAACATCGTCGGGGAGGTTATTCACATATCTGCCGCTACCCTTGAACACAGGATTTCCCTGCCATATCCATGCGCTTTTCGCTCTCACGGATTCGAGAGATCATCTCCGGAACAGCGGAGAGGTCATTCTAGAACGAAGTCGCGATAGGTGCGTGTGTCTCTCGACTTCGCCATCGAGTTGCACTGATATCGTTCTAGACTCCTCATCGAATGGAACCGTGTCTTATTCCAAACCTTCATTCCAAGAGCTTGGGCAGCTCTCCTGCAAAGCCTCGCCGATCGCGCAGACTTCACAGGCGACATTTACTCAGCATGGCCGCCACCGCAGCATCAAGGTTATAGCGGAGAATCTGTGTACTGGCAGGGACTTCCTGAACAGCTCATCTCCACGGTGTTGCAGGAAAAACTTCGCGTTTGGCCTTTGAAACTTTCAGAGGCGAATGAAGAGCCAACCGTTTTTGCGGAAATGAATGAAATCCTCGTCGCTGAAGCCGCCGTGGAAGCGGAGTTGTTGCAAGCTCTCGCGAGGGCTAGACTCTCTATCATGCAATCTCCTACGTACATCGGCGACATGCTCAAGCATGAACAGGTTCGATGGCTGAGTCCACAAACTGCTCACGTCGAACTTCAGGTTAGTGGGTCGTTCCAAATCCATTGCATATACGTCGTGATGGTGCTGTCATTTAGGGACACACCCATGCCTTTCTTCCTCAACTCGACTGGCCGTCCAAAATGTCAATCTTGAGCTATCTAACCTCGTCAGGAGACGCCTCGCTTCTATCCGAGATTCCATTCGTACCCACTGTCTCCAACGGCGAGGTTGCACTGACTTCCACGCTTGGAGCTTCACCTCGCACTCTTCTGGCCGAAGCAGAAACTGATCTGTTCGAACATTACGACCCTGATGCAATTGCATTGCATCGACTTCCGAATGGTGTTGCAGAGATACTAGTGACGGATGGCGTCAGAAAACTTAATGTCAGGTGCTTGGATCATGTCCGAGTAGTCGAATATCTGCACACTGCACTCCTCACGATCTCCATGGAGTGGCTGACTCGATTCTGGAGCTGGATCCCTTCATGGAATAATGCAAATACGTTGCTGCCATCCATACTGTCAATGCCTCTTTTGTCGACATCCCAGAACCAATATCGAACGATTCAAGACGGTGCCTTTATGCAGCTCGAGCATAGAGAAGGGCCATTAGAAACCGTTTTGACCTCACTTGGGTTGATCTTCATGTCAACATCTTTCCCCGCTTCCGCGTTGCAATTCTTGAAGAGCAGCGCATCTCACACAATCAAGGATCCTCACGACGCAGGCGATCTTCTGGACTCGTTCAACGTCGATGCAATGCCCAGACTAAATGACGACGAGGCCACAGTATTCCGCGAGCATGTCGCTTCCTGCCTGTCAAGGACTGAGGACCTAACGGATGCGCGAAAAGCAACATTGCGCTCTTTGCCAATATACTGCATTTTGACCCCAGTCGAAAATCGTGAACGATGCGGGGTCGAACACATATTATCGGCAATATCTATCAATGCTACAATTCATTGTATCGCCGGAGAAGAACCACTAATTGTACCAAGGGTCTCTGGCGTTGTCTTTGTCCTGATAACCGACTCTGCTCGCCTGATGGATCACATTGACTATCATGCTGCGAGAAATGTATTGAAAGAAGCAGACGTTGTAGAGCTCGCAATCGAGCATCTTTCTGAGCAAAGCCCACCGCTGCAGCTCGACTTCCTCCGCCGTCTTTCGGAGTCTCCTACGCTTCGTTCATACGACACACTCGAAAGGTTGAGGGCTACGCGATTCATTGCGATGAATGCATCCAATGTATATCGAGCACCGCAGGATCTCGTCGACCCAAGCAGTGCTCTTGTCGACCTAGCTCTGTCCGGAGACTTCTGGCTACCATCTGATTGTCGCAATGATACCTACCGCGAGATGATCAACTTGCTGCGGTCCATCGGTGTGCTTCAAAAGCAACTATCTGCTGAATTTGTTCAACGCCGCATCGCTCGGGTTGCTGTGGCTTACGATAATTCGCAAGACGATGCATCCAGAGTTGCCCTTCGGTTGCTTCAGATGTTGGAAGCGGAACGTTCTATCTGCATCGAGCTTTCCCGAGATAGCTTCTCCCATCCAGCGTGGCTTCCTACCCAGCAAGGAAACAGATCTCCTACTGACTGCCGCGATCAGCGACATGAAGAACTATTTGACCGTGTCCTTCCAGTTGTTCGCATTCGCATCGAGAGTACCGCTCTGCGTGAATTCTTGGGATGGCACGCTCCGATATCGCTGTTGACGCTGAGGGATCAGTTTAATGCTTTGATATTGGAAGGAGACAAGATCTATGAGCTCCATCGTGTGATCCGCGAGTTCGGTCAGCGATTTCAGGAGATGAATGAAGCGTTCGTTCAGGAATTGAGAGCGCTCGTCTCTGAGCGGAAATGGGTGCCAATCTCGTCTGACCCACCCTGCATTGTGACCACGCTGGATGTGATGTTGTCATCAGACGTTGATCTCCCTGGACTCCACCGAGCCCCTCTAGATCTTATCAGCAGGGTAGGTGTGAAGGCGTTCCTGGAACGAATGGGCTGTCCGCAGGGGTAAGCTTCATTAGTATGGGTTGTTTATTTCTTCAAATAATGCTCATGACACCGCAGGCCATCTAATGCTGCTATCTTACGTCAGATTGATATGATTCCAAGACATGATGCAATGAACAGTGGAGCCGTCAAACGTATTGTCAGACTTCTGGAAGCGTTGGAGTTCAAGAACTTGACCGATGCTGAGTGGACCCGCATTTATCTTCCCGACGTTCAAGGGGACATGCGCAATCGAAGTGAGCTTTTTTACGACGATCTTGGCACTCGAGCCCTGGAGTTAGAACTGCCTCAAAATCGATTCAAGATTCATAGACAAATCAGCGAAGTACTCGCGGACCACCTTGGAGTCACATTCCTCAGTACCATGGAACTCAATATCCTGGATCCCGATGAAGATGATATGCTAGAGGATCCAGTCACTCGTGTCAATGGCGTGCTTAGATCCTATTCCATTGATCAGGCATTCAACGAATTTCTGGCGAACGCAATGGATGCTAATGCCAAGAATATGACCCTTGTCCTGGACGAGAACACTTCGAATCTCAGGAACGCGGATTACTTGTCGTCACTCATGTCGCAATTCTGCGCAGGTCCGGCTTTGATCGTGCATAACGATGCGCTCTTCACGGACAAGGATTTCAAAGGAATTCGCAGCATTGGGCTCGGGGGGAAACAGGATAGCGATGGCGTCATCGGGAAGTTCGGGCTGGGTGCTCTCACTGTCTTTCATTTCACTGAGGTAATGTCATTCCGCGCTGGTGATGGATCAAGTCTGATAATCTACCAGTTGCCTATGATCGTATCCGGGAAATATGTGCTTTTCTTAGATCCAAGTCAAGCATATCTGCCGCCGAATGGCAGTGGAAAACGGCGTGCTTTGCGCATTCCTCTCTCAACTTTGCAGAGGTCAGTGTCGTTTCATTAGAGTCAGAGTCGGCCCTCATTAACCATGGATTGATAGACAATATCCTGGCCACTTACAGAGGTTATATGAGCTACTGTCCTTCTCCGCAGATACAGACTTTTACAATGGGGTGAGTTGCTACGATACCCATCGCCAGTGGAGGGAACTCACAGCATGCTGTTCAGAGCCTCTTTTGGCTTCCGCTCCGAACCGCATTGCAAGCGACTACCAGCCGACTATGGACTTCAGAGTTGAGTAGCAACACCGTCAAAAACATGATGAGTTCGTATGCATCGGTCGCACCTGAAGCGCTACTCTTCAATCACTTTGACCGGATATCGGCGTATTCCACACGATCGAAACAATCTGATTTCTGGTCCGTCTCAGCCGAACGCGCAAGTGTCTGGCCCGTAGACGGTGATTACAAATGCGAGAGGGTCTCAATTACTCGTGAAGGCCCTCAACGCCACGTGAGCCGGCAAGAGTGGCACGTTGCTCAAGCAAGATCTACCTTGCATGCGCTGCCAACTGAATTCCAGAAGCTGGCACCGAAGCATCGCATGAAAGATCTCAGAATCGGCCTCGCAGGCCTGAGCCGATGTACACCTCCGACGCCAACGCAGGATGCGCTAACTCACAAGTTCTTTTCTAATCTCCCTCTCCCCATTCGCACCTGCCTTCCAGTTCATATTCACGCGTCATTCATCCTCGCCGACGACCGGCGGTCCATTAGGTTTGATGACAATGGCGAAGCTATCCCGGAGGCGAAATATAACCATTACATCTTGTCGCAACTGATCCCTCCTTTGTACTGGTACCTTCTGGAGGCCTGGCCGGGTGATCTGGACAACTTCGATATCTGGCCTGGTGCCGCCCGTGATCTTGTGCAAAGCGAAGACGCCTTGTCGGCTGCTCTCTGCCAAGCGTTCTACTCTGGTCTCCCAAATAGTGAGAGGAGAATGTGTCAACCTGTCATTGAAGGCGATCGTATCCAGCCCCAAGATTCGTTGTTTTTGGACAAGGAGCCTTCTGCCGACGAGGTTGCATTGAAGAGTGTGCTTCTAGCTATCAAACCTCCTACATTGGTGATCGTGCCTCGCAGTATTCTGAAGCGAGCTGAAGCTGCGAATGCACCGATCCAGTGGGTGGACGAGTATAAAGCAAGTGAAGTGTTATTGCAATATCGAGTTCAGTTGATAGCGGAATTTCGCGCGAAGCATATTGATGTTAAGGACATCGAAAATACCCTTCATTACCTCCGGAGAAAACCTGACACGCGTTTAGACCGCCTCCCTCTTCTACCACTTGCAGATGGCAGCCTCGCACGCATCGACAGCAGTCAGAATGGTCCGAAGGTGTTTTCAGGCCTTTGGGCCTCATCTTTATCGGTCCCTTGGCCATTATTCGTTTCCAAGCACTTTTTGCATCCTACCGTTGATCACAAGAGACTGCTTGAATATGACATCAATGTCTCGGAGCTGACTGCTTCGGACCTTGCAGATCTCGTTCAGACTCGATTGCCTGACTCGAGGAAATCTATTCGGCAAACCACAGAGGATGAGGGCAGATGGATTCAGGACTTCTGGGAGCGTTTTCATATCTTCAACATTGAAGTAGACGAGATCTCTTCGCTTTCTCTTGTGCCCACAACAAGAGCGGGTCAATACGTGTCAATCGATCACTGCCGCACAGAAGTGGTCCTCGCTAGCCCAAGGGACGCGATCGATCATCACCATGTATGCAACTCATTGGAGAAGTTGGGGGCCATTGTGCTACCGGCTGCGCAGAAGCTGCCACGCCCTTTGTTACAGCCACTCGACTCCGTGCCGTTCACAATCGATGCAGTTTTGAAGTTCCTTCAATGCAAGAGCGACGAGGCTCACACCGGACTAACTGCACTGCCTGCTCTCTTCGACGTGTTTGAGGACAATGAGGGAAACGATTTCGCGAAATGGGCACGCAACGAAGTGCAAGTTCGGATATCTGATATTCCCGAGGACCTTCTGCCAGTGATACGCTATCTTCCCATATGGCCAGCATGGCGCGGAAATACGACAGCCCTCTGCTTCCTTCAAGACTGCGACGTGAGAATTGTTCCACACAGATTCCGAGTTTCCGATATTGCGCGTGTTCTACCACCCGACATGTCCTTTGCGGAGATTCCTCTTTCAGTGCTTGAGCGTCTCAGCATGAAAGCTACGGAGCTGGGTGCTTTCTTAAGCATTGTTCACACCAGTCTGCACAACCTGGACGACAGTGGCTTTTCAGCGTACGAACGGATACTCGATGGAGCCCTCTTACTTTCCATGGGGGAGCAGGTCAAGAATGAACTCAAAGTGCCTAATACTTCACGCGTGCTTGTATCGCCAAAAACGCTATATTCCAGGGCCGAGCCGGCATTCATCGCTGCTTTTGAGACACGCCAAGATCTGTTCCTTCACCCTGTGTTCGAAAGGTACGATAGGAGCCTCAGGGCTCTCGGCCTCCAGCATGAGCGAAATTTCACCACATTCAAGGCATGCGTTGTCAATCTAGATGCCGATAACGAAATGGAAGGTGTAGTTGATCGCGCTTTGGTCATCTTCGAATGGTACGGGCACCTGCCTATGCACATCGGCAGGGATACAAGCAAGTGGTCGGAACTCGTGGGATATAAGTTCATACCGTGCGATGCGGTTCGGAGGCGCTACAATGACGCATCACTGCATCCTGAGAGCTATGTGACCCGTCTGTCGCGTCTCATTGCCCCGGAACAGATACTACGTGAAGAACATGAACGGATCGCATGGACGCAGAGAGGGCAGTTCATGCTGCCACCTGACGAACGCCTGCTGCTGGCCGATCTCACACTTGGCATGCCTACTCTCGATGAAGTTGTGAGTTTCGTTTTAGTACTGATCGAGGAGGGTTGGAGCTAACACGTTTTTCAGGTCCGCCACCTGCGCGTCTTGGCTCTACAGATTGCTCCAGCTCATCCGGGGCATCCGGAAGTGTTCGGCGACTTCAGCGCAACATATCAATGGCTCGGACACTCGGAGCGTGCTCAAGCTGCCGGAGCGATCCTCGCCAACTACGAACATGAACCGTTATTCCTAAACATCAACACGGCTAGCGACAAGTGGAATTTCGTCTGCGCAAGAGATTTGATTTTCAATGCCCCAGACGAGGACGACCGTCAGGGCGTCCGCATGCTCTTGGATCCCTTCAAGCCGCTCCTCCTCGCTTCTGGCGCCCTCGAGATCCAGCAACCTATCGCCCCTCAGAAACAACATGTTGCCGCAGATGACGTCATGCACCGCTTCCGCGCTGCAATGAACATGCAGAGGAATGAGGGGCAGTTTACCGATTGCTTGCTGGTATCCTCTGACGGTACAAAGTTCACGGTCCACAGGTCGTTCCTCGCGGCGTCAAACGAACATTTCAGTGGCATGTTCTCCTCCGGCATGCGCGAGAGCCTCCCAGCGTCCTGGAATGAGCCGATACGAGTCGAGCTTCCTGAAGAGGAGCCCGTCGTACGGTGCGTGCTTGGTATGTATCTTCACGCATGTTACTTGTGTTGTCGCGTTGAGATCCTTTGCATACAGACTGGTTGTATGCCGGCGACCTCACGGTCCAGGACACGTACGACCAGAATGAACTGCTCTCTCTGTTACGTGTTTCGCACTACATGCGTATTGCCGACATGCACCGCGACGTCCAGCGTCTGCTCATCGAGACGCTCACACCAGGGACCTATCGAATCCGTGAGTCTGCTTTCATACATCTGTCCGCGTCGGTAGTTGCTGAAGTGGAAACCCGCTTTCAGTCCGCGAAAACGCTGCAGACTTTGAGGCAGATCTGCTGCTAAAGGCGTGCGATGAATATCTGGAATCAAATCGTGAAGTGTTCGAGCGCAACCCGCAATTGCTTGGGCCGAACGGGGATGCGTGATGCAGAGCTGTTGTTCGGTTGGAGCTGCCTTATGGATTGGGGTGTCTCGCGTGTATTTCACTGTCTAGATGTTATTTTGAGCTTCAATGACAGATGCAGTTGGAGGTTGCACTAGTTACGGTAACTAGTATCAATAACCATGTCATAAGAACCATCCTGGCGGCGACTCCCCAAGTTGCTTGCACCACGAGAATTCATACACGGCAGCATGTCAATACGATGAACAACATACAAAGTGCATGAAGGATTGGTCTAGTTCTAGGCGATGTTCTATGCGGGGAAAGGATGATAGTATGAATACATAAAAAAACAGTTGCGCTTGTCTATATCTAAACGAGGGTCTTGCGGTCTTTAAGTTCATGAGATCGTAAAGAAGGCCAGAAAAATCAGAAGCGTGAGAAGCCATTTCGGGAAAAGAAAGCAGTTGCAATATACCGAAAGCGAATGGAAATTTTACGCGGGAGAAGCGTCGGGCTCAAACTTGTGAGATTTCTATGTCGCTCGCATCCTTCTCGGAGTACCCCTTGTTGCACGTGTCTTCGTCGGGGCCGTTTCTTTCAAGGTATTGCACGCCATCCATGTTCGCCCCACCCTTCTCCTCGTCCATACTCTCCTCCTTCTCGTCCGCATCGTCGTCAGCGCTCTCCTTCCTCACCCTATAAAACACCAGCATCGAAATCCACTCGAGGCCCACGATGCCTAAGAGGAACCAAAATGCCGCACGCTCGCCAGCATAGTTGCTCACGCCCTCCTTTTCCTCTACGCTCGTCTCGATCGAGTCCACCGCAGCGATGCCGACCGCGGAACCGAGCTGCAACGCGCCGTTGAAGATCGCGCCGACGGTGCCGGCCATGGATGCAGGCGAGGTCTGGAAGATGGCGATATTGGTGTGCGTGTACGTGAGCATCGCGCCGGCGCTGCCCAGGACAAACGCGGGGAAGACGAAGGGCCAGTATTTGTCTGGGCCGTCGGCGAATGCGAGGAGGATGGTGGCGATGACAAGCAGGCCTTCGCCGGAGAGGATTATCCATTTCGAATTGATGATGCGCGAGAGCGGGCCGGTGAAGCTCATCGAAAACGCGAGCACGCCGATCGGAATCCTGTGTGCAGGACGACAGTAAGCATTCATGACCAGAGAAGGTAGTGGCGATATGAGGCATACATATGGATAGCAGTAGAAATAGCGGACCAGTGGTAGACGTCTTGCCAGAGTGTCGTGAATGTCGTAAAGATCGTGGTCCACCAGAAGTATGGCAAGAGAGCAGTACCGAAAAGTACGGAGAAGTTGGGCAGGAACCATGTTTTCGGGGGCCTGCAACAGACAGTTCACGTCAAAAATACGGCTGGTCAACGCGATTGAGCAGGACTTACACTGCCGCAGTCGAAACGGGTATACGGGTCTCATAGTAGAAGAATGCCACGACCATGAGGACAGAGATGACGAGTGGCGCAATCACCGTTGCGGAACCCCAGCCAGAAGCAGAGCCAGAGGTGACGGCAAAGATGAACAAAATTAGAGCGGCTACCAAGCCACTTACTTCGTCAGATATGGAATCTCCATGAACGACGAGTCGCACCAACCTGTAAGCACGGACACTCCACCGAGATCAAGACTCTTCCATTTCTTGCCCTCAATGTGGATATTCTCCTCTTGAGGGGGCACTAGCACTAGGCAAATGATCGCGATCGGGAACGCGACCATCGCGACGAACCAGAACACCCAGGACCACGAGGCATACTGGACGAAGATCGCGCCTATAATTAAACCGAGGACTGGCGGGGACGAGTCAGCGGGTGTCACATGGAAGAGAACAGTGGAAAATCCTCACCATTCCCTACAGCGCCGCAGCCGCCGAAGACACCAATGGCACGCGCTTGCTCAGTGGGCTCAACGAAGACAGCGACAAGCAGCGAGAGCGCAGAGGGAATCGTCATTGACGCAGCTGGGTCGACAGGATTAGTTAGCTTTATAACCTCGAACCTCGGAACGACCTCGGACTTCCTCACCGATGCCGCTCAGTGCTCGAAGCACAATGATAGTGATTTTATCTTTGGAGAACCCGGCGCCAATAGAAATGACCCCAAGCGCGGCGATGCCTCCGGTAAAAGCTACTTCTGCAGCGAGAGACACACATGTCAATTGAATAGCACACGCGTTGGTTCCCGCATGTCCACTGACTCGGATTGTACACGTCACTTATGCGACCGCTCTGCTCATTGTGAGGGCAGCGTCAAACCATACTCAGTCAAACGGCTGAAAATGCACAACACTCACGATGAGCAGAAAGGACGCGAACGTCAATTGGAATGCGCTGATGATCCAGGCCGACTCGCTGGCCGTGATGTCCAGCGAGTTCTCTAGGTCGGGAATAGCAGAGAAGAGAGCCGAATTATTGAACGAGTCCAGGAATTGTGCGAAACAGAACACGATGAGGAGCAGATACCGCCTGAAAGGCGAGTACAGCTGCGGCAGGCGTCCGTCGACGAGGGTCTGTGCAGGTGAAAGGATGGTATCTGCTTTCGTGTTCGTGTTAGGCGGCGCGGTCATGTCGGCAGTCTATAGGGTGTGAAGAGCGAGAAAAGAGTCTATTGTGAAATAAGGGAAACAGAGATAATAGAGGACGTAGTTAAGCGCAGAGAGAACACAGAGAGACGGCCGAAACCCCAAGAGGAACAGGAAGAGAAATGAACAGAAGGGGAGAGAAAAGAGCGGGGGCGGGGCTGGCTTTTATCTATTCCTGCACACGCTGACTGATCGAAGCCAGGAGGCAGACGCGTAAAGTGCACCATCTGCGGTCCCGGGGGTGGGTGGGGTCAGCAATTTTCCAGATTATCAACCACTCACCGCGGGGAGCACAATCGCTAGCGAACGGTAAAGAATGCGGAGAAGAGAGGCGAGACCGGCGCGTACTGCAGTGAATGGAATCGTCCAGAGCTCCGAAGGGAACGCTCTAATTGGCTGAAGCGCAACAAAACGCCGAATGACAGTCTGTTTAGGTAAAACAGAACATATCCCGATCGCATACACGTTCCTCAGCGCTCAGCGCGGGGACAGGACTTGCCATGATCTGCCAATATGGGACTCAACGGTGGACCTCCCACAGTCTACGGCTGGAAGAATACGCAAGCGGGCAGTAATGCAGCGGAATGATGTTATGGATGCTCATGGTAGGGAAGGGACCTCTTGAGGCCAAGCTTGAGCTTGAACTATGATTTGAAACGGCGACGTTCAGGCGACACGGAATGCCGTCGCCGCGCCTTTCAACGTGTCAGTAGACGATCAGATCTATCCTTTCAGCATGACCAATCTGCTGGACTGCTCTACGGATGAATGACGCGATCCCGTTAATTGAGTATAACTCAGACAGCCAAAGTATTCAGGAAATACTGGAGCAACGGTCCAACGTTGTGCCAACGCGAGCAGCATCCATCATGGGTGAGATGAGAGTTGAACACGACGACGCACTGTTTGCCTTCGGTGGGCCTCTCAAACTCCGCTGTGGCTGAAGTGGCTGAAGGCTGTCTTCACCGTGTTCGCGTTGGTACTGCATGCACAGAGTCCACGATACGGAATAACTGGAGGGCCACTATACTACGCGTGAAGCACGCTAGCTCCGCAGATGCGGTATACAACGCTCATCGATGCTAAACGCTAGCCGATAACCTTCAGCCATAGCGGAGACTGAAAGGACATCAACTCATCTCTTTCTCTTCCTTCAGCCCCGAATACCGTCAGCCCCGAATAATACTATCTGTGGTTGGGCAGCCGTGTCGGGTAATCGAAAAGATCGACGTGGGTTCTCAGACAGCCATCATTTGAAGTATCCATAGGCACTACTTTCGGTCATCCCGCGTCCTGTTCAGTCCACGGCCATGTCCTGTTCCTGTTCCGACGTGGCATGCTCAAGCCCGCATCCCACGACACGGACGACTTGCAGACGATCCCACCATTCCGTAAATCCTCGAGCTGCCCACACACGTCCACCAGAACCTGCTGAAACTGCGGCCGTGTTGCTTGTAGCAACTGCTTGGCCGAACACGACGCCAACGATTCCTTCGCAAGTTCGAAGCCCAGCGAAGTGTACGTAATGCTGCTGTAGTAGGCTGTCAAGGCCGCCTTGTCTGCGGGCGCAGCCTCGCAGATCATCCTTCCAAAGCTTGCTTCTTTGGTCCATGACCCTTCTTGCAGTAAACGTGCGTCTTCCGCTTGTTTTCCATGGGGGTACTGTACCCACGAAGGCTCGCTCTATGGTGAGCAGACGTCAATGGGATTACGCATACTCTGCCGCATGCTTTGGGCACGCGCGTTTCACTATGGCTTCACAGGTATAATTTCATTCACTGCTACCGGTGATAGGACTTCCTTCTTTACACGTGTTGTCCATCTGTCTTTGCTTTGCGGAATGCCTGCTTCAGTCAAATTTTCAGAAGTTGCAAAGGCGCACGTCATCCCCAGCAAACGGGCTCGCATGAACAGCCCGTCGCCATCCCTCGTCATGGATGCCAGCATACGTTTTTCCTTGCAAGATCAGGCCTCAGGAGTCCATAACGGTCTTCGCCTCTGAGTCCAAGCTTTGAGCCATCGTTTTCGTAGTCATATCCTGTGAGTGCTTCTATCCTCCGCTCCCGCTCCAACATCCTGCCATCATACTGGACCACACGAATGTGCTAGTAAATTCATCAGGAGCGTGCTTGCCTGCTTGACGGACGCTATGCTGGCAGGATTGCGGAAAGCACGTTCCGATATCCTGCACTGCTCGGGCCGTCGGGGCCGATCGCCATAGCCAGCCACCTTCATCTATGTGAGGATACCGCTTGCCTCGCGTGCCCAGTAGTTCTTAAACTAAGTGGCCATCTCATAAGTATAGTCCTGAAGACTTCGCCTGCGTGCACGATACGTTACATTGTCCAACTTGAGGTGATTCGTCGAACCCCGGGCTGACGGAATGAGCACGGAGACTGATGTCACGGCTATGTCGGCCAACTGAACAATAACGCTTGAATGATCCTTACCATACACGCAGACCGTGAAGAATCCAGAGTGAACATACATATTGACAGCTCTCTACATCTTTGTAGCCATTCAGATAATCGACGAGCCTTAGGGTTAGTATGACGTAAGACTTGTTACAAGGTTAGGGCTTTCCGTCGCTCTACTGCCGCCATCCAGCCCCCCTCTGGCTCGTCAACGTCAAAGAGCGGCCTAGAGTCACCTCCTTTGGCCGTTATATAACGCGACGGCGTGCGGGGAGCCCTCCAAGAAAACAGTTATTCTTGTACCCATCTCTTCACGACATCAGTCATAACTACTAATATCACGAGAAAATCTTTAAATCTCAGTAACGACTTAATATCATGGGGTCCGTCCTACAGTCTGGGTATCTCATGGAGTCTAATCTAATTCATGCAGCCTTATCTTCTCTTGCATTGCGGGCATCTGCGTCGGGATCGGCTCGCTCGCCCTAGGTATTGTTGCTGTCATCGGAGCATGCCTCGAGTTCATCGCCAGCCGTAAGTCCATACTTTGATGTCACCCATTTTCGCGAGCGCTGAGCCGTCCGTCGAACAGTCATCGTTGGCTGCGCGACAGGCATCTGCGAATGCGTAACAGCCGTCCTATGCTGCGGATGTTGCGCATGGTAAGCAACATCTGTGACGATCGCGCCTAGCGTTTGCTCAACACGCCGCTGTGTATAGACCAGGTCGGTAGCTTATTTAATGGGGACCCGCGATGAGACGTTGAAGGCAGTCCCGCGGTTCTACTCCCCTCTCGCCTTCGCCAGCTTCTAGTGCCGTTGGCCGGAAAATAACATCCACTGTGATTGCCGAACGACACGGACACCAAGTACCATCTTACCTTACCACTACTAATCTGACTTTTGTTGTAATTTGTATATGCTCAAACGGGCCGGAACCTAACGCTGTTGTACGTGTTTTATCATTTCACATCGGCGTTCACATTACATGCGAGAAAGGGTTGTTGATTCATGCAGCTTTGCCGTGTTTGATGGAGGATCTACATACTGTCGAGATGACTACTTGTAGGTTGGCATGCGCAAGACGTCATTAATTGATTGTATTCATATACATTCCACCTATATGACAAGGTTATTGATCGGAGTGCAGCCTCAAAGTGCATCTGTCATTGAAGCTCAAAATCACATCTAGACAGTGGAATACACGCGAGACACCCCAATCCATAAGACAACTCCAGAGTCCAAACCAACAACAGTTCTACATCACGCATCCCCGTTCGCCACAAGCAATTGCGGGTTGCGCTCGAACACTTCATGATTTGATGCCCGATATTCATCGCACGCCTTTAGCAGCAGATCTGCCTCAAGGTCTGCGGCGTTTTCGCGGACTGAAAGCGGGATTTCCACTTCAGCAACTACGGACACGGACAGGCATATGAAAAGCAGACTCACGGATTCGATAGGTCCCTGGTGTGAGCGTCTCGATGAGCAGACCCTGGATAGCGCGGTGCATGTCGGCAATACGCATGTAGTGCGAAACACGTAACAGAGAGAGCAGTTCATTCTGGTCGTACGTGTCCTGGATCGTGAGGTCGCCGGCATACAACCAGTCTGTACGCAAAGCACGTCAATGCGACAACACAAGTAACATGCGTGAGACACTTACCAAGCACGCAGCGTATGACGGGCCCATCCTCGACAAGGTCGACTCGTACAGGATCGTTCGAGGACGCTGGGAGGCTCTCGCGCATGCCGGAGGATCGGAACATGCGATCGAAGTGTCCGTTCGACGCCGCGAGGAACGATCTGTGGACCGCGAACTTTGCACCGTCAGAGCATACGAGCACGCAATCGGTAAGCCGCCCCTCCTTCCTCTGCCCATTCATGGCGTCGCGGAAGCGGTGCATCATGTCATCTGCGGCAACACGTTGGATCTGCGGAGCAACAGGTTTTTGGATCTCGAACGCGCCAGAAGCGAGTAGGAGCGGCTTGAAGGGATCCAAGAGCATGCGGACGCCCTGGCGGTCATCCTCGTCTGGGGCATTGAAAATCAAATCTCTTGCGCAGACAAAATTCCACTTGTCGCGAGCCGTGTTGATGTTTAGGAATAACGGTTCATGTTCGTAGCGTGCGAGGATCCGTCCGGCAGCTTGAGCACGCTCCGAGCGTCCGAGCCATTGATATGTTGCGCTGAGGTCGCTGAACACTTCCGGACGCCCCGAATGAGCTGGAGCAATCTGTAGAGCCAAGACGCGCAGGTGGCGGACCTGAAAAACGTGTTAGCTCCAACGTTCCTCCGATCAGTACTAAAGCGAAACTCACAACTTCATCGAGAGTGGGGACGCCAAGGGTGAGATCGGCCAGCAGCAGGCGTTCGTCAGGTGGTAGCATGAAAAGCCCTCTCTGCGTCCATGCGATCTGCTCATGTTCTGCACGCAGTATCTGTCCTGGGGAAACGAGACGCGGCAGAGGAATCGCATAGTCCTCAGGATGCAGTGATTCGTCCTTATAGTGCCTCCGGACCACGTCGCACGGTATGAACTTGTATCCCACGAGTTCTGACCACTTGCTTGTATCCCTACCGATGTGCATAGGCAGGTGCCCGTACCATTCGAAGATGACCAAAGCGCGATCAACTACACCTTCCATTTCGCTATCGGCATGCAGATTGACAACGCATGCTTTGAATGTAGTGAAAGTTCGCTCGTGCTGGAGGCCGAGAGCTCTGAGCCGGCTATCGTACTCTCTGAACGAAGAGTGAAGGAACAGATCTTGCCGCGTCTCAAACGCAGCGACGAATGCCGGTTCTGCCCTGGAATATAGCGTTTTTGGCGATACAAGCACGCGCGAAGTATTAGGCACCTTGAGTCCATTCATGACCTGCCCCACGCGAGCTGAGAGGGCTCTATCGAGTATTCGTTTGTACGCGGGAACGTCACCATTGTCCAGGTTGTGCAGGTTGGTGTAGATGATGCTCAAGAACACATCCAGCTCCATAGCTTTCCTGCTGAGACGCCCAAGCACCGAAGAAGGAATCTCCGCAAAGGACATATCCGGTGGTAGAACACGCATGATATCGGAAACTTGAAATCCATGCGGAACGATTCTCACATCGTAGTCTTGGAGGGAGCGAAGGACTGTCGTGCTTCCGCGCCATGCTGGCCATATGGGAAGATAGCCAACCACGGGCAGAAGGTCCTTGGGAATTTGAGATATCCGAGCTTGCACTTCGTTGCGTGCCCATGTCGCGAAACCATTTCTCTCATTGTCATTAAGCACATTGAAGAGAGCAGGCAGCGCACTTAGTCCGGCGTAGGCCTCGTTGCTCTTGGATCGGAGGAACTTCAAAACTGCGTCGAATGTGAACGACACGGAAGCGAGTGTCTGTCGCAGAGGGTGTGGCAGCTCCTGCGCAGCGGGCAGCACAATGGCTCCCAACTTCTCCAATGAGTTGCGTATGTGATGAGGATTGGCGAGGACGACTTCTGTGCGGCAGTGATCGATTGACACATATTGACCCGCTCTCGTTGTGGGCACGAGAGAAAGCGAAGAGATCTCGTCTACTCCGATTCTAAAGATATAAAACTGCGCCCAGAAGTTCTGAATCCATTTGCTCTCATCGTCCGTGGTTTGCCGAATAGATTTTCTCGAGTCCGGCAATCGAGTCTGAACAAGATCCGCGAGGTCCGAAGCAGTCAGCTCCGAGACATTGATGCCATATCCAAGCACTCTCTTGTGATCGAGAGTGGGATGCAAAAAGTGTTTGGAAGCGAACAGTGGCCAGGGTAGCTGTCTGAGTGAGGTCCAAGGGCCTGAAAACACCTTTGTACCATTCTGACGTCTGTCGATACATGCGAGACTACCATCTGCAAGGGGTAAGAGAGGGAGGTCATCCGACTGCACATCAGATTTTCTCCGGAGGTAATGCAGGGTACTCTCGATGTCCTTGACGTTAACGCGCTTTGCATCAAATGCCGCCGTCAACTGGAGTCGACATTCCAGTAATATTTCACTTGTTTTATACTCATCCACCCACTGGATCCGTGCATTCGCAGCTTTCGCACGCTTCGTAATGTTGTGAGGGATGATCACCAATGCAGGGTTGTTGACAGCTAGAAGCACCTTCTTCACTGCAACCTCGTCCGCGAAAGGCTCCTTATCCACAAACAATGAGTCTTGGAATTTGATACGCTCGCCTCCGATGGCAGGTTGACACATTCTCCTCCCACTACCTGGGAGGTCAGAGTAGAACGCTTGGCTGAGAATGGTCGACAGTGCATCTTCGCTTCGCATAGCACCACGAGTCGCACCAGGCCAGATATCGAAGTTGTCCAGATCACCCGGCCAGGCCTCCAGAAGGTACCAGTACAAAGGAGGGATCAGTTGCGACAAGATGTAATGATTATATCTCGCCTCCGGGATAGCTTGGCCATTGTCATCAAACCTGATGGACCGCCGGTCGTCGGCGAGGATGAATGATGCATGGATATGCACCGAAAGGCATGTGCGGACGGGGAGAGGGAGATTAGAGAAGAACTTGTGATTTAGAGCATCCTGCTTTAACGTCCCTGAGATACATTGGCTCAAGCCTGCGAGGCCGATTCTGAGATCTCTCATGCGATGCTTCGGTGCCAGCTCCTGGAATTCAGTTGGCAGCGCATGCAAGGTAGATCTTGCTTGAGCAACGTGCCACTCTTGCCGGCTCACGTGGCGTTGAGGGCCTTCACGAGTAATTGAGACCCTCTCGCATTTGTAATCACCGTCTACGGGCCAGACACTTGCGCGTTCGGCTGAGACGGACCAGAAATCCGATTTTTTCGATCGTGTGGAATACGCCGATATCCGGTCAAAATGATTGAAGAGTAGCGCTTCAGGTGCGACCGATGCATACGAACTCATCATGTTTTTGACGGTGTTGCTACTCAACTCTGAAGTCCATAGTCGGCTGGTAGTCGCTTGCAATGCGGTTCGGAGCGGAAGCCAAAAGAGGCTCTGAACAGCATGCTGTGAGTTTTCTCCACTGGCGATGGGTATCGTAGCAGCTCACCCCATTGTAAAATTCTGTATCTGCGGAGAAGGACAGTAGCTCATATAACCTCTGTAAGTGGCCAGGATATTGTCTATCAATCCATGGTTAATGAGGGCCGACTCTGACTCTAATGAAACGACACTGACCTCTGCAAAGTTGAGAGAGGAATGCGCAAAGCACGCCGTTTTCCACTGCCATTCGGCGGCAGATATGCTTGACTTGGATCTAAGAAAAGCACATATTTCCCGGATACGATCATAGGCAACTGGTAGATTATCAGACTTGATCCATCACCAGCGCGGAATGACATTACCTCAGTGAAATGAAAGACAGTGAGAGCACCCAGCCCGAACTTCCCGATGACGCCATCGCTATCCTGTTTCCCCCCTAGCCCAATGCTGCGAATTCCTTTGAAATCCTTGTCCGTGAAGAGCGCATCATTATGCACGATCAAAGCCGGACCTGCGCAGAATTGCGACATGCGTGACGACAAGTAATCCGCGTTCCTGAGATTCGAAGTGTTCTCGTCCAGGACAAGGGTCATATTCTTGGCATTAGCATCCATTGCGTTCGCCAGAAATTCGTTGAATGCCTGATCAATGGAATAGGATCTAAGCACGCCATTGACACGAGTGACTGGATCCTCTAGCATATCATCTTCATCGGGATCCAGGATATTGAGTTCCATGGTACTGAGGAATGTGACTCCAAGTTGGTCCGCGAGTACTTCGCTGATTTGTCTATGAGTCTTGAATCGATTTTCAGGCAGTTCTACCTCCAGGGCTCGAGTGCCAAGATCGTCGTAAAAAAGCTCACTTCGATCACGCATGACCCCTTGAACGTCGGGAAGGCAAACGCGGATCCACTCAGCACTGGTCAAGTTCTGGAACTCCAACGCTTCCAGAAGTCGAACTATAGCCTTGGTGGTCCGATTGTTCACTATTTCATGTCGTGGAATCGTATCAATCTTACGCAAGATGGCAGCATTAGACGGCCTGCGGTGTCATGAGCATTATTTGAAGAAAAGAATGAATCATTGTCATGAAGCTCACCCCTGCGGACAGCCCATTCGTTCCAGGAACGCCTTCACACCTACCCTGCTGATAAGGTCTAGAGGGGCT